TGACAAACCACAGAAAGGAAATTGAAACAACTTTTCATATTTTTAATTGGAAGTTTCTCTCCTCTTTTTCCACCCTGTAGCATTGTCCAGAATGAAATGCCTTGAGGGCGTATTGTAGAAATTAAATATGCCATTCAGATGCAAAAGTTAATTGATGAAAAATTCCAATGAGTTTTAATTAACTTTCTCACACTGGGAAAGCTCTTTTCGGCACAAAAGTTCTGTTTGCCGAGAATAAAAAGCTGAAGCCATTGGCAGAAATAATTGGGAATCAGCTTACATATGGTCAGAAAAAAAATTGTCTATGGCCGAGCGAATCCTGTTGACAGAAACCGTATTTATCCTATGTAAATATTTGGGAGGGTGAAGCTTCTTTGTGACCCCGAGACGCCTTATCGTCCTGTCATCGCGACGACACTGGAAAACAATGCCAAGAAGGGCTGCACTGCAATAAATTTGCGTCGGTGTTGGAGATTTTCCATCATTTTTCCTTTTAGTTTTGTCTGGAACGAAGGGACAAACCCCTTTTATTGCCTCAATTACTGACGAAATGGCGGCGGGAAAGCCACCCTTTCTGTCTGGCACAGAAAGGGTGGCAGCAAAAGGGATGCTGCAAGTTTTCAGCGGAGGTTCTCGAGATCATCCCCAGCAATTAAACTCGTGCTGAATGTGACAATTATTTGGCTTGATTAATTGCCACGCCAAATCGTCACAGTATTGTCACCAATTTGGCCATTTGACCATCTTTTCGCCCATTTAAAATTCTATTTCAGCACTAATTCAATTACTTCTGGCATTTCGCTCCGCTTTTTTGACTAATTTCCCCGTTGTCACACCCTCGTCGCGCGTCTTGAGTCCGCGAAAAGAGGGGCCGTCCGTCGTAATCACCCCCAGTGAATTACTTTAATTAATTTGATGGAACTATCACGCTAATGTTTATGGGACACAAACACTGCGCGCCTCCCGGAGAAGTTTTCTGCCCACAATAAAAGAGTTATTAAAATATGCAAATCCACTATAAAGTTTTGGGTGGGGGTGCTTTTGTGCCTTTTCCACTTTAATTAAACTCCTTGGCAACAATTTTGTCTTCCCTATAATGTCATGCTCTATATGACTTTTGCGCATAATTAGGTGCAACATTCTGGGCTGTGCTGATATTTATGATGGAATTTCTCTTCAGTTTGGAGAACACATTTTCCAGCGAACTTTCATTTCTGCTATTAATTCTGGGGGTGTTTTTTTTTTATGTTTAGTCGCTGATTTCAATTTCAATAGTTTTCAATTTCGACGGGTGCCTTGAAAATTATAAAAAGTCAAAATCGCCAATTTTCAGTAAAGCGAGTTCAAAATTTTGCATTAAAACAGCTGCGAAATTTGCCAAATTTACTTCAAAATACTCAAAATGCATTCAAATCGTTCGTTAAAGTGAAAATATTGTTCTGTATTTTTTATTTTGTAAATGTTTTATTGGTATTTATTGAAATTTTTCACTAAAATGTGGCAAAATTAATAGAAAATCTGAAAATATTACTTTTCAAAGTCGATTTTTAATAGTTTTTGAGTCGATTTTATACAAAAAATCAACTTTTCATACTTCAATTGAACTTTTTCTTAATGTTTTCAAGTGAAAAAAATTTAAAAGATATGAGAAATATTCATTTAAAGCCCAAAAAAAAACATTTTAGGATAATTCTGAAAATCTACAAATATTTTCTAAAAAAGACGTTTTATGCATTTGACTGCAATTTTTGAGACATTTTTCTTGGGAAAATTCTTCAGCGCAAACAATGAAAATTCGACTTTTCATTCGCAAAACATGACCATTTTTTTCCATTTGTGCTTTTTAGATAAATAAGATTTTTTTCTATTGTCTCATAAGATAAAAATCTTAAAATTCTTGTACAGAAAGAACAAATAAAAGGCTTTTCAAAAATACATGAAGACGAAAACTATGATAAATTGACTGTTCATAGTTTTCCATTCACCCGTCGATTTGAACTCCCAGATTAAGAGAATTATGTGAAATAAAGTCAAATCTCAGCATAAAGTGCACTTAAAACTCCACTTTGTCGTGCTGCAAGGAAAGTCTCAACAGGAAGTTACGTCTTAACTATAAATTATTCAATAGATGAGTGAATAAAAATTTTATTTCATCTCCAATGATTATAAGTTATATGCAAAGTGATGAATAATTATTTCTTTTCTGCTTCTTCGCTTCTCAATCTGTATTTTCAAGAATAAAATCACATAGTTTCACCAGTGAATTGATGAGACATAAAAACTGCACTCCAATTTGAATATGTTTTCAGTTTTGCAAGCACAAAGTCTACCTTTTGATGATGACACAAAGCACCCAGCAAAGTCCTGTGCAATCCTTTCCCTATTGAGTGAAATTTTAATGGGGCCGGAAGAATATTTTCCGCACTCTCTCAAACAATGCACTGATGGCGTCTGCGAAATATTCTCAACAGCACTGAAGTCATTTTAATATTGTCACTTAATCCACCCACTTCTGTCCCCCGCCACGCCAAAAAATATTCCCCACAGCAGAAGACACAGTGCCATTTGGGGATGTTGTTGCTGTGCTTCGCTCAAGTGCAATTTGTAAGTACAAAAATGCTTTCCACCCACGGGATTTCTGCAACTGAATTTGTCTCCCAATTTTCACTCTGACGGAGAAATAAAAACACTCCTCAAATTGATCTCACACAGGGAATTTTTCTCTCTTTTCCACCGCACTGAGAGAAAAAAATTGCTGAATATTGAGTATACAATTTTCCCCTCCTGCGGGGGTGTATTTTATATTTGAAATTCCACGCGAGGGGTGGAAAAAAAGAGAGCTGGAGGAAAAGAGGTGATAAAAAGGCGAAGTGCAGGAATTCCTTTTGGCACGAGGGGTGAAGAAGAAGCACGAAAATCTGTTTTAGCAAGTGAATTAAATAAACATTATCAACCCTCAATGTGACACCATACACTTTTCCGGTGTGCCTACCCCCACAATCAACCCCCATTTTGCATCTCAGAACGTGATTTCGCGTGACTTTATTGACTAGATGTGAAGCTGTGTGGGGAAAATGGAATGTATGGAATTGATCTGGAGCAATTTTTTAAAGCGATATTTCGCTTTTCCTCTGCTGGAAGTTACTCAACTTCTGAGCTCGCAATTTTCTCACAAATCATCCCTAATGACGTCATGTCGGCGTGGCAGTTTTAGAAAACAGCCGCGAGGCATCCGGAAATGTGGTTGTTGCCTCATTAAATCTTCAGGATGTGTACAAAGCGGTGCTTAGAGGTTAAGTGACATTGTTAAAACTCTCCTTTTTTTTATTATTATTTTTAAATCGTGCCCGCGAGCAGAGAAAAGCAATCGGAATATTCATTGTGACTTGGGGTTTTGCCTTAAAAAGGGAATAAAATTGTCCTGAGAGCAGTTTCGCTCTTAGGAAAATATTTGCTCTTGCAGTGAATTGTTTGCCTCGTGCTTCTCAGCCAACCTCCTCTAGGCTGGCCACAAAAGAAAGTGGTGAATTAAGAGGGTTGAAACTGAGATAGTGTGCTCAATCTCCTTTCAGATTCGCCCTCCCCCCACCCCCATGCGGCACCCCTTCGTCGCATTGTTGGATTGCAGCCCCTTTTTCACAGGACGCTCGATGTGTGCGGTCTCATAAATAGATTTCTTTTTTGCCCGCCACACCCCAACATTATCCACTTGAGGGCGAAGATGGTTCATGTTCGCTGGAGTGCGAGTCTGGCGAGTGGTGCAAACAATTGAAAACCCATAAGGATTGCTGGCGAATGTCGGGGAAATGGGAGAAGAAACCGGAGTGTTTTGTATTTCAATTCTCATGCCCGCAAGACTGAAAGTTTACTTGAGCTTTTCAAGAGTGAGCTTTCCGTATATGCATTGAAAATATTAACAATCCTCTGCAATGTTTACCAAACGAGTATCTCACGGAGATTTCACTCGAGATAGCGACATTTCAGCAAACAATACACAATATCTTATTCCGTCTGGGAGACGCAATGAGCACTGCTTGATAAATGTTAATGCTCTTTGAGCAAAAATACATCATTCGCCCAGAGATAAGGATCTTGTATTATTTCACAAAACCCGAGAGACTTTCCTCAATGAATGGAAGCGAAGAGATAAAAGCTCATCTGCTCAAAAATCCTACCTCATGAAATTAAAAGCCCATTCAAATGCCCTTTTCCGCAACGTCACAATCAGGGAAAGTTTCACTGTGTGTGCGCTGCTCAAAAGCGAGGGTGAAAGCAGAAAATCCACCAACTATAGCACTGAACTTATTGCAATTTAATTTATTTTGAGATGTGAATCAAGAGTTGAATTGTTGTGAGTGTTAATGTGGCTTCCAAACTATGTGTCACAATCAATTTGAAATTAGTTTCACTTGCAACTCGAGCGACCATGTGTTCAGATCCAAACACACATCAGTTCAAAGCTCCCAAACTTTCAATGCAGTTCCTCACAGTTTACTGCTTGCAATTTCATCCGCTTCATTCCCCACTTCTTGTCACAATTCACCCACTTTTAGTCAAAGTACTGCGGTTACACTCACAATTCATTAAAATTGATGCAAAGCACTAGAATTCAAGCTCACAAGAGAACAAAAGAACAGATTATCAGTCAAATGTGCAACACGTCGTGTGCGTTATGCGATTTATCACGAAGTAATTGAGAAAAAAATCTCCTAAAAGCTTCCGAAAGCTCATATTTCTCTGTGTGCAAAAGTCTCAAACTTTCCTCCAGAGTTAAACACACTGAAGCAGACTTTAATACACTTGCTTATTTTCCCGAAAAAACCTCCCTATTTATCTTTCCGAAAACAGGGTGGGAGGAAAATTATTGAATGAAAAATGTACGATTTCCTTTCACTGGAAAGACAAACAACTCAACCGATGAAAGAAATAACACTTGAATATTTTCCTATTCTGCAAAATCAATATTAGACATTTTCCTAAAAGCCGGTTCTCTTTCGCAGAATCCACCGCCACCGTGTTCGATTCTCACCTTCGCGGCCCGGGATTCGTGATGGAGCCGCCGCCGCGGCTGGAGTTCAGCAACTCCTCCGGCGCCTGGCTGGACTGCTCGGCCTCGGGCAGTCCGCAGCCGTCCATTGACTGGCTGTCCGTGGACGGCACGTCGGTGGGCGACGTGGGCGGCGTGCGGCGGGTGCTGCGCAACGGAACGCTGGTGCTGCTGCCCTTCCCGGCGGCCGCCTATCGCCAGGACATCCACAACACCATCTACAGATGCGTGGCATCCAACAACATCGGACGCGTGATTTCCAGGGACGTTCAAGTCAGAGCCGGTGAGTGTTACTCAATCACTTTACTTATGTAGCTTATCATGGATTGCGAACAGTATTTTTTGTATTTTGCACAATCTCCCAACCGACCGAGATGCTCAGCTTTGTAGTACTCACGGTGGAGGTCTTCCCTTATCGAAGTGGAAGGTCTGCAAAGAGAGAGAGAGACATGAATTATTGGAATGGAGATTTTGAAGATAAATTGAGACGCTCTAACGTGAGAATGACATGAATTATGTCCCCGAGAATTCCATTGTGCTCATGAATTGGATCTTCAGCCTCTTCGCAAATCGCCCTGAGGAGACAAGCCTTGCCGGGATGACCATAACTGCAGCCAGAAAGATATCTCTTAATCATATCTCTTGAGTAACCCTTTTAGCTTCCATACCCCTGCAATCTGCTCTCCAGCATCCGGTAGAATTTCTTTCTGGTCCACAGAGAGTCGCTGATGTATCGCTTGTGAGGGCTCTTGGTCACTCTTCCTGGAGAATCAGTAGCTACTCCTTCAGTGGTCGTTTGGGGCTGTGATTCATCGTCAAACTGGCGATTTGTGACGCAGTCCTTTGGGAGAGTTTTGTTGTACGATTCAGTGACGGGAAAAGGCTCGTCTCCATCATTATTCCTTCCCAGCGCTCGATCAATGAGATCAAGGCGAATTAGAGGTCCTGGAACGAGGTCAGAGGCGCTCGTCGGCATGTTGTAGTTGCCCTCAAAGTTGTACGACACGAAGACATTTCTGTGTGGCAGATCCAGAGGAATGGCAATGGCCGTGACCATCTGAAAGTCACACAAATTAGGCGATTCTCCTAAAAGATTCCGGCCATAAAACTCACTCCGATTGCACTATTGGTGGGATATTGAAGAAATCTCTTCACTCTCTGCTGACCACTTCTTGCACAAATTGTTTTAAAATCCATCACAAGAACTGCGAAGATGACAAGTGTTCTTCTGATATGCATGCTTCTCGATTTGTGGCGTAGAATAAACTAATGTTAATGTTCTGATGCCACAAAATTGAGTGACGGAAAAGTGTTAAAGAACACCGCATTCTCACTTGTATGTAGAAAAGAAGCAATCATGACGATACGGTATTGCCAATTAGTCTGAGTCTTCATTGTAGAACAGTTCTGTGACTATTCTTCAGAGGTGTTAAGTGATCACAATGTATGCTAGACGGAGATACGGAATGTCTCCTTATGAAGATTCACCATGTGGGCTGTGAAATTGCGGTTCAATTTCTCAGAAATCCATTAAAAGACTGCAAACAATGTTCACGGAAATAAAATAATATTTAGTGAACATCATTGATTCCGAATAATTATCACAAATTCCACAAGACATTGATAAAATGCTCGTCCATGCTTATCATGTATATTAAGTGCGTCTGTCTTATATCATTCCTTGTCTTTCTTTCGGGAAAACTCCCCTCGGATTTCCAGGTGAAAATAGCTGAGGGTGTTTAACATTCTCCCCAACACTTTCCGCCATTCCAGCCATTCTTCCTTGTTGACATGCTGGGACAAGGAGAAATTTTGAGGCAGATCCTTTGTCACTCGGCGAGAGGGAAATGAATAAATTTTCCGACGGCAGCGAAAGTGGGTCAAATGACGGATTCTTTCGGGGGTCGGATAGATTTATTCTGTCAACGAGAGGCTTGATGAGAAAACTGTCGATGTGTACATTAATATTAATTAAGATGCTGCGGCAGAGTTGCCCAAGAGAGAAGGTCTTGAGCATCATATTAAGCTCCCTCATTTATTCGTGAAATTGCGTTCCTTTCAATTAAATCTCTGTTAACTATTCCTTTGCCTTATAATCTCAATTTTCAGGCCTCTTTTCTGCGCGTGCCACACGACCCGACCCCAGCGGTTGGCAATTTCAACAAATCCCCGGCAAATTCGGGGGAGAAAAGTCAAACAGTGCCAGCGAAAGTTGAGGGAGAAAGAGGCTTTTATTGGGCGCACAGTCCATAGTAAATCCGGGCTTTTGTCCTCTCGCGTCCGAGGGAAGAAATCACCTTTCATCCCTCAAAACTTACACCCGACAATCTACTTACGTATAAATGCGTCTTTTGACTGTAATTAACATTTCCCGGATGTCGAAATTTGCCCTCCCCTTTAATCCCCTTCGCCGAGCAATTAAGCATCTCTCTGTCACAGCCAAGATTTACCCTTTTCTCGGGGATGGAATAAATTGAATTTCTTGCAAATTGACAAAATTAGATGCCTCCAATTAATTCCCCATTACCGTGTGGAGACAAATGTGATGTGGAAAATCAGCTCTCGCAGGGATTTTTGCACTCAGCCACGAAGAATCTCCAGCTCTCCTCGCTTCGCTTTCCCATTTGATTCCCGCGCCTTTGGGTGCACTTACGGAGGATTTAATTTTCAATTGTGTGTTAAGTATCAAATTGCTGGCTGTGGGGAGAATTTTTGCCACTCAACCGCATAGAATTCCCATTTCAAGAGGCCAGGAATTGCACAGGGATTTCACAGAATGGCGGAAAAGTCCTTTTCTCCCGGCGCTCACTTGAGAAAGTAACTCATTTATCCTGCGCCTCTGCAGGACACAAAAGAGGCGCGAGTGAAGCTCTCTCTCTGTCTGAGAGCTTTTATTTTTCTCCTTGAGCCTTTGCCAATCCATCTGGAAAGTTTTCTCCTCAACGTACTTTCTCTCTCCACCCCCCCAAAGAGTTTATCGCTAAATTGCATCCCTGGGAATCTTTTGGGCACTTCAGCCCATCATATTTCCTCAATTGCATGCAACTTTCAGACACATTGGCTTGTTTTCAACATACACAATTGACTTTCTCTCTTTATTTGATTTGTGCGCGCCTCGCAGCACCAAATAAAAGTCCGCACTTGAGACAAATCCGAATCCGGAGGAAAAATACGACTTTTCGTAAATTTTATTAATTTTCATGCTCATAATATCGCGCTCACGCTTGTGAATCGGAGGAAATAAATGAAATCATTACCGTGGAGAAAGAGCGTCCCTTTTTATCTCAAAGGCAAATTTTCTCATTCCGTCTCCGTTTTCCTATGGTTGAAGAGGTTTGTGAGCTTCTTTCGGGAGACTTGCTGGAGGCTCTTGGAAAACGATGTGTTGAAAATGACTTTGACTTTCCCCAATGAAGCTTTAAATCTTCAAACAAGCGATTTTCTCGGTCCTCCTTTTTTGTGCTCTTCCTTTGCCACCCAATGTTGAGTTCATGGTTGGAAACTCTCGTGGAAAATGATCCGAAGCCAATCCAGTCACGTTTTCCCAGTCGCTCCGGGAAGGCGGCGCGCGAGGTCAGGGCGGAAGAGATTTCTTCTTGGTGCACCAAAGAGGTTAAAGTGCAACAAATTAAGAGATGTACAAGGTAGAAAATGCTCGGTTTCTCCTCGTCCATTTTCTGTATTGTTCACCGGAAAATGAGAATTCCCCGGCGAAATGGAATTTGTCAGTTCAAAGGGACGTACAAAGTTTCCATGGCGATGTCACGTAAGGCATCGTCCGATGCCTCAGAAAAAAAAAATTGCTGGCACTCCTCGCAATCATTCGTCCTGGGAATTTGATGAGATGAATTTTTGCCATCTCGAAGAATTCCATGTGAAAACATTGTTACAGAAACTTCACATCTTTCTGCACAATGTTTGACTTTGTCTCTCAACTTGAGTACATCCTTTTCACTTTGTAATTTAATAGAGTACATATATATCGAAAAAATGTTCCTGGCTCACGAAACAATGAATGAAATTGAGAATTCCCATTCAGAGGAAAACTCTCCCATTGATAGCGGAACTATTATCTCTCCATCTTCTCCTTCTTGTGTTTAACTTTTTCGCCGTGCGGCGCCAAGTAACACTTTCAGCACTTCCTCCCATGTATGTGCAGCTTTTTCCTCCTGCAAAAGGAAGCGCCCAGGAAGACGTGCCAAAACTCCCAAAAAGTCCCACCTCAGCAGCAAGTAACAAAAGCCAAAGATATTGCGTCTCTCACGTTTGCCCAGAACTGAAGAAACAAGGCAAGAAAGCACCGTATTCGGCAGCTTTTCCGGCTAATCTCATGATAGGGAAAACCACTTGATAGCGCCTTCGTGTGTGGCGAAATATTAGGGGAGGAACTTTTCAATTATTCATGAAATGTGTACCTATTTTCCGTGAAATGCTCAACTTGTGTGAGATTGCCTCTCACTTCCATCTTCCGCTGAGGCATTTTACTCTCCTCTTCTTTGCCTTTGCAGAAGGATGATTTATTAGCGGAATTAGAGACTCCTTTCATGCATTTAGGATTAGGGAATGAATAGAATGAGTTATCAAACTGACGATCGCATGCAGATCCTTTGATTTTGGGATTTGACAGCTCTCTCGAAGGATTCTTCGAAAATCTCGGTAAAATAATCAATTGTAAAGAAGAATTCTACTTTCAACCCTTTATTAAACTCTCTGTGAAGGCCAATTCGCACAATCCATTGTTCTTCATATTTGATGAGGACTCTGGTGGGATGAAAAATTCACCACAATGTGTGCCACCAGAAATTCAAGAGTTGACAAGTTCAAAGGACACCTTTGAGAGAGAACTAATGAATTTATCTCGGCCACCTTTCATGTGGCTTCCTCCTGAATCATTCAGCAGAACAATGCGCAGCCATCTGAAAGCTCTTTCTCTCTCTCTTGTCTTCCAGTGGTCGCCCAGGCCTACAAGGTGGACGTGGAGGTGCTGAGCGCGTCGCGCGGCTGCACGGCGATCCTGCGGTGCGTCGTTCCGACGTTCGTGAAGGAGCTCGTGCGCGTGGTGTCCTGGGTGCAGGAGCCCGCCTTCTACATCTACCCGTCGCTGCAGGGCGACGGCAAGTTCCATCTGCTGCCCACGGGAGAGCTGCTGATCCACAACCTCGAGTACAGCGACGAGTACCCGACGTACCGCTGCCGCACGATGCACAGACTCACGCGCCAAGTGGTCGTGAGTTCAGCCACGAAAGTCAGGATAAGCGGTGAGTATCACCCAGCTTCCACACCCATTCAATGGGAAACTCAATTACGTGCGCCATTCGTGGAAACTTTCCCATCACATCGATCCAAAGCAATCACTCAATTGGATACTCTGCGAAAACTGCATGAGGACTGAAACTCATTCGCTTAATTTCATTTCGAACACACACACTTCCATGAATTACCGTGGAAAATGCGCCAGTTAAATAAAAACTTTTTCCACCCTCTCAACTTGTAACTCAATTTCCCTGCCATGTGTGCCTGGGATAATATTCGGAAATTTGTGATGGAGTGAAACAGCAGAGCCGAGTGCTGCTCAATGAAGAGTCTGTGTGTATTGAATTACCCAAGGGGGAGATATTATAGTCGGAAAAGGTGTACAGCTTGAAAGGAAGTGTTTAGAAGTGGAATTGGCAAAATAAATAGAATATTTGCACTGAAAAAGCTTCCATTTCAACCAAATTGATGCATTTTCTTCATTAATTTTGCATTAAAATCAATTTTTTCGCTTTTTTGAGGTTATGTTTAATCAAAAAATATATTGAATTATCATTTTTCTCTGTTTCTTGGCACATTTGAGCATTTTTGTGCGAAAAAACTTCACATTGATTGAGAAAAAGCTTAAAAGTCAAACATAACCTCAAAAATATAACTTAAATGCAGCAAAATGTCTCTTTGCCTTGGTTATTTTCGCATTTTTACTGTACAAGAATATTTGCACTGCAAAAACTATAGTTTCAACAAATTGAGACATTTTTAAAAATAATTTTGCCTAAAAAAATCAATTTGATCGCTTTTCTTTTAGGTTATGTGATAAAATAACCCCCAAAATCGTCTAATTTGCGATTAAAATACGAATTTTTCTCTTTTTTCTTGGCAAAATTAAGCATTTGCGTTCGAAAAAACTTAAGATTAGGTTAGAAAACAACTTTAAAGTCAAACATAACCTCAAAAATGTCTCAGAGAATTCTCTTTATTTTGGTTATTTTTGCAGCATTCAGATATTCGCCATTTAAAGTCATTTCCAGACTTGAAGTATTTTTTAAGCTAAAATTCATAACCTCACAAATTGATGAGAATTTTTTTTTCAGGCATTTTCTGAAGTTTTAACTAGAAAATCAAGACAATAATGCATTTTTAAGGGCGTTAAAAAGTGTTGAAGATTCTACAGAAGAATTGTGGAAGTGTTTGGAAGTGGTGTACACTGTTTAGCTTGTATTATCTCCCCCTTGGAATTACCGACTGAATGCGGAGTTGGAGTGAAAGAAATCTTGTTTAATATTGCAATTTCTGCACTCTCTTTGATGTCTGTCGAGTTGTTGAGAAGTTTAATTAACGAATTTGTCGCTACACTTGCCAAAATCCCCCTTTCTTTCATCCAAATTCACCTGTAATTCTCCGTGTTGCAACTCTCCAGAGCGCACCTTTGGCTGGGCATTTGGAGAGTCTCTGCAGCATCTTGGCTGTGCTGCAAATTAACATTTTCGATCCCCGCCCACACTCAGGACTTGCCGTGAGTCTTATCAGGACCGAAGGCAGGACGATGCACTCTGCTGAGTGTAAAATTGCCAAATGGTGCTCGTCAGCATTCATGGTGGGTGGCAGAAGTGGCGGAAGTAATTTTCGCACATCCATTAAGCTGTCGCACACACACACATAAATAGCAACTCCATTGAAGCCTTGGCTCGCTGTCCATAAACCCTATCATAGAAGACGCAGAGCGGCGAAATCCATCTGGCTAAGCGTAAAAGCTACCGACAATTTCACGTCATTTGCCCTCAAATAAAATACATCGCACATTTATACTCCCTTTTTTCCGCTCGCAAAAACCCACCCAAAAGTGCCTGCACACCATCAGCAATAACTCTTCTCGAGGAATTATAGTGTAAAAAGGCAAACCACAGAGTGCTCCAGAAGTCCGTGGAGCCTCTATTTTTTCCGACGCGCCCACAAGAGAGCCGGGGATGGAATTTTTCCCGGCCATGATGGATTGCTGGAAGCATACAATTTGAGTCTGTTTTTCCATCCGTTCGCATTGAATTTATCTGTGAGTGTGCTTTTTTTCTTCTTCCTCTACAAATGCTTAGTTGTGACTTGAAGCGGAGCGTGAAAGAAATTCAGTAAAATACAACCCACCGCATATGCTTGAGTGAATATAAATAATTTATTTGCACACAGAGAAGCCTCAAAAGTGTTTAATGTCGGCACAAGATGAGACTCTTGGATCCTCCTGTGCACGGGAAAAATGCGCCGCGGCGTGTGGAAAATCAGGGGGAAAAAAGTGAGAGAGAGTGAGAAAGAGGAAAACCAAAAAATCACGTATAACAAAACCTCTTGTTTTGGCTTTCCGCAAGAGTGGATTTCGGAGGGAAAATGAGACTGGCAGACTTTCCCGTGGCAGCATTCTTGAGGGTGGTGGCGTGATGGGAAAACAATGATTTTCCTGGCTCTCAAAATTCCTATGGCGTGCTTTTTTTCCCCCGAAACTCTGCGATGTCAGCTTAACAGAGATTCGCCGGGCGAGATTTTTCAATTAGTCGCACTTCAAGGATCTCTTGCAAATATCATTAGGATATCCCAATCCTCATAAAAGCAAGACTTGCCATGAATTTCCATGGAAAATGCTAAATATCTTGTGAATCTTGTGATTGATCTTTGCTCGGAATTCCACTAATTGAATTCCTCTCATTAGATATGGATGCATTGCATGTTGAATGCAAAAGCTTTCCAGGAATTTCACACACTCCAGAGGGAGGGTTTTTTGCTGTGGATGCTGTGAACGGGTGAATTTTTAAAAATGACTGCGCTCAGCATAATTAAAGTTTGATGAACAGCCCTTGCATTTGACGGGGAGGGAGAAAAAGTTGCAATCAACTAATTAAAAATGTAATTAATTCTGCAGATCAGAGGGGCATCGTGGCGCCCAGCATTGTGGAGCACACGGCTCATGTGTCTGTGGCCCAGGACGAAGGAGCGGTGCTGCTGTGCATCGCCCAAGGATGCCCCGCCACCGAGTACAGGTGAGCGACAAATAAAATTAATTATTAAGCGAGATGGGCGCACCGCAGAAGCGCCGGGAATTGCCATAACTGCGTCATTCTGCATTTTTGTGGTCATGCGGCAGAAATTCATATTTGAGTGGACTCTCGAGATCCCGCCAACACTCAATCATTATGCAAATTTCCCTCTGAGGTGCTTCGATTATGTGGTAATTAATCATTAATGTGCAAGGAGTCAATATCAAACTCTGCCATCTTGTTAACTCACCAGCTTTCCCTGCTCACATATGCATAGACATAGATCAAAACATTGCCTTAATCAGAAATAGATGGAAGCCACAGTGATTAATTAAATCAACATCGATGGCTTTCATATGAAATTCCTCGGCGATGCAATGCAAATTATTTTCTTAATACAATTAGGAGCTGCTATGCAAGCTCTAAGGGATGTTTAAGGGCAGCGTTCGCTGCGGTGTCTGGATAAATATGCTCGAATATCAAATATTTCACACTGCATCGACGGTGTTTTGGGCTTTTGCTGCACTTTTGGGGAGAATTTGCAACATTTTCACCCACAGGAGGGGCGAAATTGAGCCATCAGAGAGCTTGTCTGCATATCGAAGATTGATGATGCAATTAGCGGCAAACCACAAGAGTCTGTGTGCGCCTCATGATCAAAGTCGACGCCATGTGGCGCTTGAGTTTCTTTGATAAAACACAACCCGAAGGAGCATCATTTCCTAATTGCACATGTGACACGCAAGGAAGGCCTTCTGGTCGTCTGCAAAACCCCTCTTGCAATATCGAACGACCGACAGCGCCAACTAATCTGCCCAGATTACTTGCAAAATATGTGCAAGTTGGCAATTTCTGCAAAATAGTAATGGCTTTAAGGGGTTGAAGACAGTGTTTGATAGCGCACTTTTCCAACTATGCAAGAATTGTGAACAATTGGTGTGTGTGTGTTTGCTTGGGATACAAAGAAATTAAAGGCAAAGGGCAGCCTTAAGCTGCAATCTCTTAGATTTCCCGCAGTCTTTGTTAATCCTCCTTCGCACTGTCACGGAGGGATGAAAAGGGGATGTAAAGTGGGATAAAAGCGTGCTCAAAATGCGCCATCTCCGCTCTCGAGACGCTCCTTTCTCACAATGTTATTCATCTTCTCTGGCCCATCTTGCCATCGTCTGACTGAGTGGCCGACAAATTCTGAATGCATGGGTTCAATTAAGGTCACCTCCACTCATCCACAGACTGGACATGAAATTGCAGGGCGGAGAATTCAGCCCAAAATTGCTCCATACATTTTGTCACCACATGGTCCAGAAGTACTCTTGCCGAAGAGCAACTTTGCGCCGCCCCAACCCACAAATATGCGATGTTTTGTGCATAATGTGGAAATTAAATGTAATGGATAATTGTCCCTATACGGGTTCTTGCAGAGTCCACCCACTGGCAAGTACAAATAACCTCCATGGACACAATTGAATTGTGCGGTGAAATTATTCACGTTTAATCGCAATACAATTTCCATCCTATTTATCGTGCAATTGTCCGTGGAAGGGAAACTCCACCACTACACAACATAAAACCCTCACATTGCATTCTTTCTCGCCGCCACTATTTGTCCAATTCTATAAAATATTCCCCAATATATATATTCAGTCAAGTGCATTCGATTGCACAATTAATTATCACGACATCGTGATACATTCATGGCAGTAATTATCAATTGACCCACATAGTAAAAATAATATAAAGAATCATATCACACAAACCTCATTTGCATATACACATATTGGATTATGTTTTGCCAATTTTAGTATATATATATTTTTTAAAATAATTATTCACACTTTGATGTGTCACTAAAACCATAATATGTACTCTGCAAATCATTCATCGTTTGCCAATTTTCAATTTGGTCATGATTACTTAATATCTGGTGTGTCAAAAAAAGGAACTACACACACATCGCATGTTCATGTCAAAAGCACAGGGCAAATTTTGTATTGCGCTGCGAGATGAAATTAACAGGATATTGCCGAATTTCCAATATTTATGAATGCATTATGAATTTCCAGCAATTTTCGATAACCATTATGCTGAATGTCATCGACTTTGCATCTCTGCAGGGGCGAATAAGTAATTGAATATCAACTGGTTCACACAGTTCGATATTCAGTTACTTACTTTCTTTACTTTTGTGGTTTTAACGTCCCTTAAAGGACATAATATTCAAAAGACAAGTTTTTGTTTTACAAGCGCAAGACAATTCCAGTGAAGCGTATGTTTAAGTTAGAACATTCAACAGCAACCGCTCGAGTTGCTCTAAAAGCGATTACAGACTTGCTGATGTTCCACGGAAGGATAAGCGAGAGCGCAAGTGTGTACGACTGACAGTTCGCTTAGCCAGAAAACGCGAATAATCCCTCGATATATCGAATGTTCAGCCGATTTTTCAAGGCTTCCCGACGGCAGCGCGCTCGTGCGAAAATGCGCCGAAACATTGCACGACTCAGGAAAGACAAAATGGCGGATCTCTTGCGAATGATTTCATGGATTATTAAAATCATTAAATTCTTCTGCGAATCATCAATTTTCGCAATTTTAAAGTAAAATTTCACGCTTTTGAAGTATGTAATTCAACTGACAGCTGAACACACCAAGCACAGTGGCGCTAGTGTCGACAAAGAAGAATACCTGAGTGTGTACAGCGTCAGTTGAGCCACGAATTGTGGCTGATCCATATTTTGAGTGTGGAAAGATGCAGATCAACCACGAATTATCGCTTATCTGACCTTTATACACTCCAAGCTTATCCACGGAGGATTGATCCGAGTTCGCGCCGATTCGAGGATAAGTGGCAAGTCTGTAATCTCTCTAACTTGCCATTGAAAAGCTTAATTTTTTGCACTCTGTTGTATTCGATCCATTTGCTTAAACTTATTCAAAGTGAGAGAAAAGCTTTGGAGAATCTTTATTTCTCTGTGAAATACTAAATTTATCAGTCTGAATGTATTTCTTCTAAGGAATGATCAGTAAAATTGTAAATTTGTGCGCCCTTTGCATTTTTTCCCTGGGATTTCCTTGCATCATCTGCATTGCAGAAGCTCTGCCATTGGTGAAATTCACATGCTATGATGGCATTTTTTATCATGGCTCTCTCTGCATATCTGTTGATTTTTATTTACAAAATGCCAGACGAAGCTTACGAATGCATCTGGGCATCTTTTATGTGGCACAAAAGCAAAGCCCAGCGGCAGTTTGGTCTGCAGAAGGATGAGGAAAATGTGTAAATATGTTCATAAAAAATCTCTCATTGAGATTTCAAGCGAATACTTGAGTTTGCAGTGTTGTTGCAAAGCGAAAAAAATATATCATCAAACATTTTGTAGTTTTCCCATTTTGAATCTCTGTGCAAATTTTTCGACTTTGTCTCGCGTTGTGATAATTTGCTGGGGAGCAGCATTTCTGCCTTTTGAGTGTGCTTTTGCAACCCTCATTTCTCATTTTCGCTCTTGCACGGGATTTTTTTGTTTTGTTTCTCAACTTGCAGAACTCCACTCTTTGATATGGCGAGCAAAAAAGCCCAGAGATTATGTTCCTGATAGTGCCTAAAGTTACATATCCATTGGTTGTTCATGGCAGCGTTGTCCTATTCCCTCATCATCATCGTCATTGTGCATGGAGAGTCCATGTAGATATGGTGGGGCATTCATTGTGTATGAATTTCGCAGGACTCACTCCGTCTGACAGGATACAAAAACTATATACTGTGCTGAGCAAAGTTTCCCCCCCGTGGAAAGTTGAACGGGGAATATCGGGTTATCATGCTTGTGTCTCTCTCCGTGGCATTAGTGTGGGTGATAAATCTTCAGAAGCAATATTTTTGAGATGTAACAAGAAATCCGGGCAAGAGTGATCCGACCAGAGAAAGGTACATGTTGGCCGTTTGTATTCATTAAAGTAAGCCCCAGAGCCATTTCGGATATTCCTTCGTGTGCCAACTCTGCACTAACCACCTCTTTCATTGTCTCCAAAAGCCACGGGAACATGTTCCTCCACTCGGTCTCCACCCACTCGATCCCCAGTTGCATCCCTCTGATATGATATGACGACCCTGCGGCGGGCTAAAGGTGGCTTCGGCCGCACCGTCTGCAAGAGTTGCCGTATAAAATCATTAAAGCGGAGGGAAAAGGTGCACATGAGGGGAATATTTCTGAATTTTCACATCACTTGGGAGTGCTTAAAACTCTTAAGGGTGGTGGGATTTTGTGCCAGATCTACGACACTTCTTGCAATTCTGACTTGCGCTAACTCGACTTTAAGGAAGATTCACTTGGCTTTGTGGAATTTTCATTAGGGAAAACAATTATTTTTGCAACATTTCCAGGACATCTTCAGCGTCATTTATGCATAGTACATTCGATGTGCACAAGTTGTGTGGAAGTGCACAAGTCAAGACTCCACCCACGATGTCTCTAATTAGTGTCTCTCCAATTTACATTTTACACATTTCCGATTTGCACTGCATTCACTGATGGAATTCAGTCCCAAATGCGACTTCCGAGCAAAATTGAATTAGCAATCTCACCGCACAATTGTCACTGAGTGTCGACAGTGGAAAAAGACCACGTCAAGTTAACTCCTTTGTCAATCCTGTTGGGATTACGGATTCAGAGTCTTAAGCTCTGTCGCTGGGATAATATGGTAATTCTATCTCAATCGCAATTAATCAGCCGAGCACCATTAATTTTCAGGAAATGTATGAGTATACACAGTAATTATAAAATCGCAGCTCGCAGACAAGTATTTGGCGCTTCTTGTTGAGCAATACTTTTCCCAACACATACACATACATTCTCTAAAGGATGATGCATGGCTCGAGTTTCCGAACTCACCCAGCGCGTCATGCTAATTAATGTGGAGTGTGATACTAAATATTCCATAAGGGTTGTCTTGTGCAAATACGAAAAGTATCAGCTTTCTGCCACTTAATCATTGGCCCAGGATAATTTATTGATACTTGTTCAACCCACACACATTGCAGATGGTACACACACAACACCCCGGGGGAGCCGCTGCCAGTGCTCACGGGGCCCCGCATCCGACTCCTGGGCCCCGTCCTCGCCGTGGAGGCAGTCACAGCGGAGGATGCCGGCATCTACAAGTGCTCAGCAGCGAATGCAGGTGAGCTCAGCTCTGCAGTGTAATCTCCTAATCTTCTTACATGTCTCTCTCGTGCGGAGGCAAATTGAAAGAACTCACCTGCCAACTGGGCTAAAAGTTAAGCATATCTGACGACACTCCTCATCGTGGTGCACCTTGAGCATGTCACAGGAGAGCAACTTTTGCGATAAGTGTAGAATTTCGCGAGTATCGCGGTATTTCATAGGGATTTGCTCTCACACTCTTACCTGCAATTGCAGCGTCTGAAGGCATTAATCATGGGATTCGGGGGAAGAATTGCAGAAAATTGGAACACTTTTGCACTATTTTATTGATATATGAAGAGTACTCGAAAAACACTTTGCTTCAAGTGGGAAATCAATGGTTTTTGCTGAAGATATTGCAATAGATGTGAACTTTTTCATGTTTTCGTATTTGAATTATCGTTTTCCAAGTACGAAATTTCAAGCACAAGTTAATCACAATTGAAAGAATTTAAAGAAATGGGCAAGAAGGTGATCTTGTGTTGATTATATCGCTATTAAATTCCATAGTTTCTAATCCGCCATCTTACATATATGCAGAATTAATTATGGACATACATATATAATTAGAAGTGATTTGTCTCTCAAGCTCTAGATTCAGGCCTGTAATTATCGAAACGGGATAACAGGAGCACTCCCTAATGGCAACAATTATTGCTTCGGGAGTGCATTTGCGGCTGCATGAATAAATTAGAAGGGAAGCGCAATTCTGGGTGGAGAAGAAAAAAGTGCCATGCTTTAGTGGCAATCCGAAGGACTTGCTTGATGAGACTTGAGTGAATTCCTGAAATTTGGTGTGCGATGGCACGTCGCTGACTCCGCAGAAGCCCCATCTAATTCGATTCCAGTCCACTCACCCTTGTCTCTTCTCTTTTTTCGCCACACACACACACGGAAAAATGCCAGGCGGGGAGGCGAGTGCGGAGCTGAGACTCTCCGTGGCGACGCCACTTCAGGTGGAAATTGCACCGAATGTTCTCAGTGTTCACATGGGCGGTTCTGCGGAATTCCGTTGTCTGGTGACGAGCAACGGAGTGCAGCTGGGACAGCAACATATCACCTGGTTTAAGGTACGGCGACTCACTGACACGAAATTGGATTCTCTGTCTCGGTGAAATTAATTACACCGAGTGTTGGAAAATTAAAGCATTTCAACTCATTTCACGGACAATAGCGAGAATATTATCATGCGCTCCAATTGAGTTTTCCACTTATCTGAATGTGAATGATGCATTCTATTTAGCTATGCGGTGGTGAGAAAGTTTCAATGCAAAAATCGCATAGTATTTGCATGTTCACACATGGCTTTATTCCGCCAAATGCATCATTTGGAATTCAATGTGACGAAACATGCGGAGTTTCGGAGGAATTTCGTGCATTAAATTACATTTTCCACTGATCAACTCCCGAAGCTCATAAACACCCCGCACTTAGCATTGCCAATTGCATCCACATGAAGTGGCGGAGAAATTGGAAAATATATGCGAAAAATGTTCGACAGACCAAATTTATATGGTTAGAAAATTCTAGCTGTAAATTTCAGTCACACTATAAATTTTCCGCCTGCAAGACGAGCTTCTGTGGGAGCTTCGGTCCAATTAGCTCTGAAAAGCTCTCCCATCTTTTTCCCACCCCCACGAGACACTCGTATAAATTTGTAATTTGCCGCATGTCCCCATTTCACCCCACAGGATGGACGCCAACTGCCCAGCTCGGGGCGGATCGGAGACACTCTCCTGGTGACGGCCGTGGGGCGGGAGGACAAGGGCATGTACCAGTGTGTCGTGCGGCGGCCGGAGGGCGACACATTCCAGGCGGCGGCGGAGCTCCAGCTCGGGGGTGAGTTCGTGATTACTTATTCATTGGCCCATTAATCATGCCCACGTGATCGATTCATTGACATTGAGGACGCCACGCACTCAAACAAATTATGCAAATCACAGAATTATAGCTCCTCTCGTGCAATCTCTAATTTATTGCCCTTCTCCACGGGTGCAAATTGCACGTAGAAGAAGAACGGACTCCCGGTCCAATCAATCTCTCTCTCGGTCACACAGCTCAAATTCGTGATCAATTAAACAGCAATTGGGTTTTGTAATTAGGCTTCATTTGTGTTTTTGCCCAGTGCAGGAAATGCATGACGCACGCCCACCCTATTAATATGGGAAAAAGATGGGTGGATGTGGAAATGAATGCGGAAATGAAGTCATATTTATTGGAAAATGAATTATAAATAACATTGTTTACGTATTTAAAATTCATTCTGAATTACTGCAACTCTTTTGTTAGTTGAGTAAGTCTGAATAATCCATTATGTACTGATTTCATCTGTATTCCGATACAACTGATTGTTTTGATCGCATAATCTCTTATTTCCAGCCTTGTTTCCAGATTGAATGACATGGAAATATTGAATAAACCATGAAATAAAATACACGAAAGCATCAGGAATTCCATCATATTCAGTCAATGTTTAAAGTCTAATTCAAATGGGCGTGGCATTCAAGAGGGCGTGGCTCCAGGAGGTTTCTCTTTAAAAAATTGAATGAGTGTAAAATATCCTGATATTGCGAATTATTTCCTCCTTGATGAAGTCCCGATAAAAACATCTTAAATTCATGTATTTTTATCATCCTGGGAGCATTATTACAATTAATTTTCGCAATAACTTGATTAAATATGCTCAGAATGTGCAAATTACACAGAAGAAAAGAATGGATGAATAAAAAATAATGCTTGTTTGGATTCAATTTCAATTGAATTTGCATAACTGGAGCTTTCGAGTGAATCCACTCTGAATGAATAATGTGGAAATTGGGTCAGAATTCAGCAAAGTGAATACCCCTTTCATACAATTTCCAGTGCCCGGTCTACTGATTGCAAATGGATGAATTTCATTGTGCCAAAATGTAATTATGTCTCCATGTTGTGCTTTGAAGCACTGACCATCAGCTGGGCGGAGAAAAAATCCAAGTATTGTCAATGAAAATACGTGCGATTAATCTCGATGATGAGGAGTTTGGACAGAAGAAAAATATAATTATAATCGCAATTATCCATTTTTAATTTGGTCTTTGAGTTGTTATCTGGTGCGTTCCAGTGTTTTCTCTGTTGCCTCTGTGAAAGCTCGACAGAAATGTCAGGAGAATTCTTCATTGCAGATGCCGGAGCTTTTTTCGGATGGCAATAAAATAATATATGACTCTATCGACCTGCACACAGACTGGGTGTCATCAAAATGAATTAGTTGCTCGTGAAGTTTTTATTCGCTCCACAGCATCAATAAAATTGATTGGCTCTTTTTCTCGCTGTCCATTTTAATGGCATTCATAGGATGGTGACTCTTTTTTTTTTTGAATACTTTGCAACTCGGGCTTTTTGCAGGAATCCTTCTTTAAAATTCACCATCAGTGAATTCTGAGCGCTCACACACGCCAGTACAATTCACGAAGAGGAACTGACATTATTGCTGTTCGTCTCCTCTTCTTGTTGCTTTTCCATGAATCTCCGTGAAAAATATTTCCCAAATGCCAATACTTCATGCTGATAGTGACGGAGAAGCGGAACGAGTTGGGGGTGCTTTTGGAAAATATTTCCCTTGTCGAATACACTTCTTTTTGTGTGCGCCTTTGATATGTTTTTGGGTGGAGGCGAAGAGAGAGAGAGATAGATAGAAATTGTCACGCTATACACGAACGCTTTCAATGTGTTGCCACTGTGAAAGTGTCTTTTCATATTCATGCCGGCAAAAGGAGTGAAATGCTCAAATGAACTCATTGTATGTGCCAACCAGAGTCTTTCATATCGCCAGCGAGAGAAAATATTTTCCACGAGTTCTTCTTTTGTGGATTTCCCAGCATTCCCGTGCAATTTCCGGCTATTGCTGATATCCATTTAGTTGGGGGTGATTCATCAGCTCAGGTCCTCATTTTCCTGGGCAATGAATTATTATTTTACATATAGCAAAGGCACAAAGTCTGCCTCTTATTCTCGCGATAACACAATCACAATTTCCTGTCCGTCCTTCCTCCAGATTCTCGGCCACTTTCATGTCCCCTCTTTTATGCTTGATGTGGCCATACAATAAAATAAAATGGAATATATGTTTCTCTCTGACGCTCAGCCAAAAGGCACATTCATTGTAATTCCCTCTACTTCTTGCGCCACCCAGCGCCGGCCGGGCAGCACTGCGATGGCAGATACTGTGACCAACCCCTGAACACATCTATAAAATTTATTACTTTAATATGTGTACCACCCATTAATAATTTTACGGCTACTTTTTACTCTGTACATAGCCACAACTTCGATTTAATTTAACATTTAACAGCGAATGGGTGTTTCTTCAATCAGATTTTTATGCTAATACCCATAAAATCTCCCCTCGCAGGAACACATTGGGTGGTTCAGGCGAGACACAGACTCAGGGGTTTTCCAACCGCATCGCTGGGAATTAATGATAATGCTTTCTTAAGTCCTTTATGGGAAAGCGGAAAATCTCACATGGATGAACCGAATAGCACGAAAAATCGTAATCATCGCGTGTTGCTAAAGACAATTTGCAGCAGCTCTTAAAGAACAAACATATGAAAAACTCATTTCCCACTCAGTTGATGAACCCCTTGCGGAGGACGTTTGATCTAGCGGAGCTTTTCCGCTCCATGTGGCCGAATAAAATCAATTTTAATTAGTGTAATTGCTATTTCAGCCACACCAATGACATTCCAGGCGACTCAAGAGCTTTCTGCCTTTTCAGACGCTCCGCCAGTGCTGCTGTACAGCTTCATCGAGCAGACCCTCCAGCCAGGACCCGCCGTATCCCTCAAGTGCTCAGCAGCTGGAAACCCAACACCTCAAGTGACCTGGGCTCTCGACGGCTTTCCCCTGCCAACCAACGGCAGGTTAGTGCTAATAATGCACGGCAATTATAGTATTTTTCCTCCGCCCCAAAAAATAGCGAGATTGCTCGGCAATATCTGATGGTGCGGAGTCAGACACACTCGCGTCGTGTTCATGCGGGTGAGAGAAGAGCTTTGAAGTGTGGAAAATGGCTGGATGAAATTGCTAGTAAATTTTGTTATGTGGCAAGTGAGGCTTAAAGGCTGGGCGATACTCTTAGCCCCCATATGAAAGTCACCCGCAATTCAATAAAGCCACCCTCTCCCTCTGGTGTAACTCCTATTTGTCATACAGATATCCTTAGTGATTCTACAGCATTTCTCCTCCGCACACATGTGTAATTAAGTTATTGTCTAGAAATGGCACATCAGCAAGCTCGTCCAGGGGCGAATTTGCCTCAGGAGAGAGCTTTCTGCTGGAAAGTTTGATTAATAATCCCCTCAATAGTTAAATGCTTGAGTAAATGTATCAAAAATGTTTTAGTAGTAGAAGAATGTCACAAAGTTTGAGCATATTCAATATATGTTTCTCGTGAGGAAATGCTTCCATTGACTATATTGCAGTGTGAAGAGCTTTTCAGCGAGCTTTCACAGCAGTATATATGCTCTGAATAATCGCCTGAATGCGCATCAAAAAGGACAAAAAGAGGGGTTTTTTATGCTCTGACGTCCTGAGTTCGTATCTGTTGTCAAAGACTGGGAATTGCACAGGCCGGAAAAGGGTCTTCTCATCGGGCTGTCAGTGTTTATTCAATTAGCATCCACGCGTAAATGCTGTGCATGGGATGCAGCGAAAAACTCATTACCAGCATGTCTATGTTGATGCACAAGTGCCGAGGAGAAAAGCTCCCATGAAAGCTCCCAACAATTGAATCTCTCCCTCACACACGAGATTACATGCAACTTTGCATTCGTAGGCACAACCCTCGTCCCACCCACTCGACAGCTCAACTACTTTTGCAATTTATTAACTTTAGCCCGAGCTCTCTGGGAATCTCTGCTCGTCGCGAGAGTGGGTGGGAGTGTGGGCGCAAAAAAAGGCAGGAATGAGCCGGCGGGAAATCGGGTTTCCTCGAACAAATTGAACTAGACACACTAATTTCGCGCTTCACTCACACACACACACACACTGCAATGTTGATCTTCACTCACGTGTTTCAGGGGTTCATTCACCCCTCATGCGAGCTCTCAGGGAAATTGCCGTGTGTGGAAAAGATTTTCATGCCGCTGAAAGTGAGAGTAATTAAGGAAAATGCACACGGAATGTTTACTCCGTCACATGGAATATTTTAGAGCCGCTAAATATCATTAATTTTTTGCCAACTTCTAGTCCTTTATGCCTTAATAACTATACAGTTTTGGGAAGCTTTCCAAAGTCGAGCAATAATGTTCTAAATAACAGCATTATGCGATGCAGAGCGCAAAGTTTGCACTTGAGATCATGGTGCACTTACAGTGAGGAGATTTCATCAATTAATATGCACATGAAACTCAATTTCTTCCATGTCAAATGTTTAAAGAGGCAGCATTTGGTGGGCGAATGGAAGTTCTCGCATATTCATGACTATGCCATGTAGGTAATGCGAAACTTTAATTTGCATTGTAAATTGTGCAGTCGAATTTATTCCATTTCCTTCAATTATTGCACATCCGCCATTTGAATTTGATTCAACTTTAATTTCGAATCGCTGGGAGTTAATCGGATTTGTTCTGGGCGGCAAAGAAGCGGCAGAGAATTATGACTGTGCCCAGAGAGTGGGCGCACTTCCTGTTGTGCAATACAGTCGCCGCGCGGAAGCTTTCTGGGGGGGGGGGGGGGGGAGGGAGGATGACGGATCCTGGCCAGTGCTCGCTGTCAATCCAGCAAGTGACAAGGGAAGAATTGGCATGAAATATGAGAACACACTTCTCCCCTTTCGCATAATTTTGCACTCCCCCGCAAAATGACGCCATTTCCGTGATGCTTTCCGCTCTGAATGCAACGAGTGAAAATTCTATCCTGATTTCACATTCCAGTCACATCTGCATGAGGGCTTTTTTGCCCGGCGCCATTCCAACCATGGCAAAGCTCCGTGTGCAATTCTTATGTCCTCTCAATCCCGCTTGACGTAATGAATTTTCCTCCCGTAGATTCCTCATCGGACAATATGTCACAGTCCACGGAGATGTCATCAGCCACGTGAACATTAGCCATGTCATGATAGAGGACGGCGGAGAGTATTCCTGTATAGCTGAGAATCGTGCTGGGAAGGTCTCTCACTCGGCTCGCCTCAACATCTATGGTAAAACCTCGTTTGCATTCGACACTCGTTTCATTCCTATATTTTTCACATATCCTGTGGTGAACTGGAGAAGTTTTAGTGTGCATTTCATTGTCATTTTGAAGCTGCATCAAGTGCATCTTAAAGTTTTTCTTACGACACTTTTACTGCCTCATCACTCAGGTCTTCCGTACATTCGCCTGATACCAAAGGTCACGGCTGTTGCTGGTGAGAATTTGCACCTCAAGTGTCCAGTTGCCGGATATCCAATTGAGGAGATTCACTGGGAGAGAAGTAAGGCGCGATTTCCTTAGGAGAAAAGTGGATATTACTCAGGAAATGTGATATTTCAGACGGTCGAGAGTTGCCGGACGACATCAGGCAGAAGGTGCAGCCGGACGGATCGCTGGTCATCAGTCCCGTCCAGAAGACTGATGACTCTGGCGTGTACACGTGCTGGGCACGGAACAAGCAAGGCCACAGCGCTCGAAGGAGCGGCGAGGTGACAGTGATAGGTAAGGTTTCGTTGCAAGCGGGGTGATTGGGGTGGAAAACAAGAAGGGAGGGTTGGGTTGAGGGCTCCGGACTAGCGCACGAAGGTATTTGCGGGTGTGAAATTTGAGCGTTTGATATCGAAATGATGAATATCTTGCAGTACCCCCAAAGCTAAATCCCTTTCACACGGCCGCGCTGTCTCTCAACGTGGGCGATCGAGCCTCCCTCACCTGTTCCGTGGTGAAGGGCGACCAGCCGCTCACGATAAGCTGGCGCAAGAACGGGCGTGTGGTGGACGCCTCCCAGCGGATGTCCGTGACGCAGGTGGATCAGTACAACAGCATCCTCGTGATCGACAGCCTGTCGTCCGAGCACACTGGCAATTACTCGTGTGCCGTGCGCAATGCAGCTGCCGAGGTGGAGACGTCGCAGGCCCTCCTGGTCAATGGTAAATTGAGCACGCGAGGAACACAAGCCACAACTGTTGATCCATGGGCACAAGCTAGGACATTGTAGATCGCGCGCGGGGACCTGAGGGAGCGCCAAACAGTGCTGAGTCTATTCTTTCTCTCACATTTGTTTCTTCTTCTATTTCTCACATTCCAGTTCCCCCTATTATTGAGCCTTTTTCCTTTCAAGACGGACTGGCTGAGGGTATGCGAACCCGAACAGTGTGCGGAGTCGCGCGGGGCGATGCCCCGTTGACGCTGCGCTGGCTCAAGGATGGTGAGCCTTTGCCCCTGTTGCTGGGGGCCAACGTAACGTCTCTTGACCAGTACTCATCCCTCCTAAGTATTCCCTCCCTCTCTGCATCTCACTCCGGTGACTACACTTGTGTGGCGACCAATCCAGCCGCTGAGGTTAAATTCACGGCATCGCTGATGGTGAAAGGTAACGTATGCCCATCATTGTCATGCCCCAGTGATCCATCCAGACATCATTTCAACCTCCGTGCCCAACAACTAATCTCCAACAAATTCTGCCACGTCCCCACATCCATCTGATGTGCATTTCTAATCTCAGAAACTCAATCATCCGCCCCCAAATCCGACCAAATCGCTTCATTTGCCTATAAAAGAGTGACTAATTGACCGCCAAAACAAGCATTTTATAGCTTTTCATTTCAATTATTACTTTCCTTTTTGTAAAATTGCATCAAAATGACGACGTTGAAGCATCTGCACAAGATCAAACTGAATTGAGATGAGAAATAGGACTCTTAGATGAATTTATTTTAACCTCGCGAATCATGTGTCTCCCCCTCAACCCCCCCATACCCCCCTAAACCCCCATTCAGTTGCTTTGGCACGCAGTGGGTTTGCGGCAGATTTCACCAGGTAATCGTTTGCACCGAACCTCCTTGTTTTCCAATTACGCCTTGGTTCACAGCCTGAGTTTCCGTTTTCCCACACAATTCACCACCTCTGCACGTTGCACGATGATCGCATGGTGTTTCTAGCTGATTGAGCAATGATATTTCACCCTTAGTTTCCCATTTGTAACATCTTTCGTTTGGCGTTTTGGCTGCTTCTTGCGCCGAAGGACTTTCAGTTTACCTCAAGTAGTAAGTTCTTGAAGCATTTTCTTGTAGGACTGTTGTGTGTGTGTGTGCTAGAGAACCGGAGTAGTTGTTGTCCCTTGAGAAGGAGCAATCTTATGCCAAAGTAAAACCGATCCTCTGCTCGAATCCTCCAAGTATTTCTCAATGCGCTTTCCCGCAATACGTGCACCTGAGAGAAAGAGCTTTAAGTCCATCCCCTAAGCTTAAACATGAGCGCACGTTTCGCTGGAAAGAGTGGCAAGGAGAAATATGGTGCTTCTTATGATTAATTATCCCCTTTTGATGATCAAAATCCAACGATTTGAGCTACCATCCAAAGTCAAAATGATTTGCGCTGCAATATTTATTGGCCATCCAGAACCCTCTTTATATATAAACCCCATATTCAAAGAGCTGTTTTTAGACCCCAGTCCGTCATCCAGACATGATATTGATATGAGATATCGGCTTTCGCAGTCCCCCTTGCCAGTATATTTATATTTATGATGAATACCTTTACTCTCCACCCTCAAATACACCTTCTGCTTTCACTCCATTTGTCTTTTATTCTTTTCAAGTACAAATTTATCATTTCTCTCCTCAAAACCTCCAAGGAAACACTGTCTCTCTCTCTCTTCTTCTCTCTTTTGAGTTGATCACGATGTTTTAAACTTGACGCAGGAAATGAATATTCTGACACCGAGAACACAATTTACATGACACAGAGACACACAGAGACACATTGAACAATTAATTCAATTAAATTCAGCAGTGATTCGAAATTGAAGTTTGGCCTCGTACATCCACAATGTGGTTGTGCAGTCTATATCATCTACCATTTATTCATTTCCATTGCAAAAGGCCTTTACGAGAGAGCTTTTAAGCTTCTTTGCGCACCACAGCGTGCGTCAATGTGCGAAATATTTTGTGGTTTTCTCATAGATAAACAGCCTTTTTGCTGGATATTTTGCTATGCTCTTCCAAACACTGTAAACTGCAAAGAAATAAGTGGATAAAATTTTCATGGAAATATATTTATTTTTATGATCATCACACATTTAGTTGGAAAATACTCAAAAAAATTACTAATTTTTAACAACCAATTTCCGTTGCTTCCTACAAATGACATAATTCTTTTAAAGCACACTTGAATAATAACTTATCAGAGTATTTATGATGTAATTGTGTCCATTCAGTGTGATTTTAAAAAACGCAATACACATTCATAATCATTTCATAACAATATTAAATCAATTATATTTCACTTTATAGCTATAAATCCATTAAATTTCCCGACTGCATAACACATTATCCCGGAATTTAATTGAATTCAGCCTCTCGGGCGAACTGCAAAAAAAGTGTTTTCATGAGAATTGGTCCATATAATCCACCGCAGATTATGATTTGATCCATTTTGGAAATGAAATTCTCCCAGCTTTTTGCACATTGCTAAGAAAAAAAAAGAACAATTGCTATGCTTGGCCAAATAAATCCTCCATTTTGAAAACACCTCCACAAAGACACATAGATTTCTCAATGTGGGTCATCAACAGCCACGCTCTTCGTCCAGACATGATTACACGGGGAAAAGTAGGGGATTTTCGATGTGTTCTTTTGCAGCACTTCACAATTCGCGAGAGCTTTACTGAGCTTTTCTTTCTCATCTCCTCCCGCCAATTAGTGCCACCGCGATGGATTGTAGAGCCGGCGGACGTGAGTGTGGAGCGGAATCGTCACATCACAATCCACTGTCAGGCACAAGGAGTGCCCACACCCGTGGTCATATGGAAGAAGGCGACAGGTAAGGACGTTGAGATAAATCCCTTAAATCCACACCCAGAGAGTGGGACTTTTCAATTACAACTCTTGCGCTGTGCTCTCAAAGGGAGCAAGTCGGGCGATTACGAGGAAGTCAGGGAGCGTCCCTACACCAAACTCCTCGCCAACGGCTCACTTCTGCTGCAGCACGTGAAGGAGGACCGAGAGGGCTTCTACTTGTGCCAAGCCCACAATGGCATCGGCACTGGCATCGGGAAAGTCATTCAGCTGAAAGTGAACTGTAAGTTTGTCCGTGTCACTTGCAATCGTTCTTCTTTGACTTCATCCTTCCTCCCGCCCTCAAGCCTCCCCCTATTTCTCCGCTCCGAGTCGAATGGTGACCGTGAAGAAGGGCGACACAGCAGTGCTCCAGTGCGAAGTGAACGGTGACAAGCCAATCAATGTGGTTTGGCTGCGAGCTGGAAAGCACGAACTGAATCCCTCGACAAACTATCGTGTGGCTGTGAAGCAAGACGCCACTCCAGAAGGCATTTCCGCAGAGGCTCAGATCACCAATGTGGACAGCAGCGATAGTGGTCCGTACTTCTGTCAGGCCAGCAATCTCTACGGCAGAGATCAGCAACTGGTGCAGCTGCAAGTCCAGGAACCGCCACAGGCGCCAGCCGCGCTGGAAGCATTGATGGTGTCCAGCAGATCGGTTAATCTCAAGTGGCAGCCTCGCAGCAACGACGCCGGAGAGGTGACGAAGTACATCGTGGAGTACCGCGAGATCGATCGACAGTGGCAGTCAATGGAACTGGCGGATCCGCCGCAGTTCGCGGCGCTCATAGAGAACCTGAAGCCGGCCACAAGGTATGCGTTCAGGGTGATCGCGGAGGGAAATGCCGGAAGGAGCAGTCCCAGCCAGGAGTTGATAGTCAAGACAGAGCCGCAGAGACCAGCAGGACCTGCTCTCAATCTCTCCGCTCGGCCGCTCTCGTCCACGGAGATTCTGGTCACCTGGACTCCGCCGCTGCCGGAGCTTCGCAACGGAGAAATTCAGGGATACAACATTGGCTACAAGTCCTCTCTGTCCACATCCACAGCCTACAACTTCACGTCGGTCTCCGGAGATGGAGAGGACGGATCTGGAGAACTACTGCTCAACAATTTGTCCAAATACAACAGGTAAACTTGCTCAGAGTTCGAATGAAACAGCCTTTAACTTCCTCGCTCCTTTCAGGTATACTATCGTCGTCCAGGCCTTCAACCAAGTGGGGCCAGGCCCACTGTCTGAACCTACAAGCGCACAAACCCTGGAGGATGTGCCCAGCATGCCGCCTGAGGATGTCCGTTGCGCCGCTCTCACGTCGCAGAGTCTGCAGATTTCCTGGCAACCTCCGCCGGCGCATCACACGAACGGCCTCCTCCAGGGCTACAAGCTCGTCTTCGAGCCTGTCCTCGATGACTTTGCAGGGACCAATGAAGACATCGAAACACGCAAGACCACAGCTCAAACCACAGTCCTGACGGGTCTGCGGAAGTACACGAACTACAGCGTGCAAGTGCTGGCGCACACCAGAATGGGCGACGGCGTGCTCTCGAGCCCAAGCTTCTGCCAGACCGAGGAGGATGGTGAGTTGCGCTGACAAATTGCCGAACTGCAGTACTCACTGCGCTCTCTGTAATTGCAGCCCCGGAAGCGCCGGCGGACATCAAAGTCGTTGTGAGTTCGCCGCAATCGCTGTTTGTGTCGTGGCTGCCGCCCAATGAGCCAAACGGGGTCATTACCAAGTACAATCTGTACACGAGGGTGGTGAATGGCCGCGAGGAGATTAACAATGAGAAGAGGAACTTGCCGTCTCAGCAGCTGAGCTACGAGGCGAAGGGCCTGCAGGCGCACGTCGAGTACCAATTCTGGGTGACTGCATCGACGCGCGTTGGCGAGGGGAAGAGCTCAAGGGTGGCGTCTCAAATCACCTCCAACAGGGGTAAGTCTCTAAGGGGATTCATTAATAGAACATTCGATGCATTCATGGCTGAATTGCTTATGCAGTATTTGAGTTTCATGAAGATTATGATGTCTCGGAAAGCTTACAGATAAAGTTGTTGAGAATTAATCATCTGGAAAAGAGAGATAAATGCATGTTAATTGATCCTATGAAGCCTATTCGGCTTGAAATGTGATTAAATTGCTGATAATTTCTTCCTCACTATATACTATATGCTTTTTTCCAGTTCCTGCAAGGATAATCTCCTTCGGAGGACCTGTTGTCCGAGCGTGGCGTTCATCAGCACAGCTCTCGTGTCAGGCCGTTGGCCAGCCTCGTCGGGAGTGGTTCAAAGGCGATTTGTCCCTCAGACAGAGTGGCTTCAACAATGTCCAGATCCTTGACTCTGGAGAGCTCTCCCTCGCGAATCTGCAGATGCAAGACTCTGGCAACTACAGTTGCCAAGTGGACAATGGCGTGGGAACGGATCGACTGACTTACAATCTCCTGGTGCAAGTTCCGCCCGCTTCTCCGGTTCTCTACGTCACGAGCGCCACTTCCAGCAGCATTCTGATGCACTGGAAGAGTGGCGTCGCGGGCAATGCTCCCATCACGGAATACATGCTGCACTACAAGCGTTCTCACGGGAATTTGGAAGAATTGCCGCTCTCACGCCACGCCTCGAGTCACGAGCTCAAGGGTCTGCTCTGCGGCACGACATATCAAATCTATCTGACCGCCGCCAACAAGATCGGCATATCGCCGGCCAGCACAACGCTTCACGTACGAACTCAGGGTCAACTGCCGGGAGTGCCCGCGCATTCCGCCCTCTTGGCGCCGAACTCCACGTCGGTTCTCCTGCGGCTGCACTCCTGGCCCGACAACGGCTGTCCCATCCAGTACTTTGTCCTGCAATACCGATCCCTGTCGGACTCCGATGACAACAAGTGGATTCTGGTGTCCAACGCTCTGAAGCCACAACGAAAATTCACAATTACGGGTCTCACGCCATCGACACTGTACCAGCTGAAGATGGAGGCGCACAATGTGGCAGGCTCCGCGGACGCGGACCTCAACTTTGTCACCCTCACGAAGGACGGCGATCCGCCGCCGCCGGATCTGGTGCAGCGAGGACATCGCACCATCACGTTCTACAGCGACATGAAGTTCATCATTCCAATCATCGTCACTGCCTCAGGGATCATCTGCACAATGGCGCTGTCCGTTCTTTGCTACAAATTCCGTAAGTCTCTGGGCGTGAGAATTTCTTCACATTCCTCATTTGCAAGCCTCGAATCTTCCTGCAGGTCAGAACAGTCGCGCCCGGAAGGAGGCTCTCGAGAACCAGCACAACGCCGAAGCCCAGCGCGAGCGGTACTACGCCACGATTCACAAGGTGGCGCTGCAGGGTCCGGGCGGGGACAAGATACCAGGTATGCGCTGTGTCGTCATCACTGCGCTCATTCGCCATCACTCACACTTGGCCATTGGCAACTTCTTGCAGAAACTTCCGAAGATATATCACCATATGCGACATTTCAACTTTCAGAAGCGAGCACCCTGGCGCAGCCCCACCACGCGGGTCCGGCCAACACGCTCCTGCACTCCTTCATGTACCACGAGCGCGCCATGACCGAGGGATGCGCCTCGCCGCCGCCCCCAGCCGCGGTACTGCGACAACTGCATAACAAATCGCCGTATTACAATGTTGTGCGCCCCGCTCCTCAATTGGCTGTACTGAAACTCTTCTCTCTCTTTTCCAAATTAGCAACCTTTTTCTCGTGTGTCATGATCTCTGTGTTTATTTGAAGAGCTGTGCAGAGTTGAGCCTGAATGGGAATTCTTGTGTTTCTTCCAGAGCCAGAAAAACCGCCGCCGACACTCGAGGAAGACAGAGCTGGAGAGTGAGGAGTCAGACTCCGACCAGGACCAATTGACATCGAGCAGGACAGAGTCTTCAAACCACCTGGAGGCGAAGATGAAGCATAGTAAGTACCATTGGCTGTACCTTCCAAGCAACCCTCGATCGAGACTAAAGGAAATGTGTGTGCACTCAATAGAGTTTCGTGCAGGTCTCATCTATCATGGGACTCAGTCCAGCACCTCGTCGGATCTGTCGCCGATGTCGGAGCAGAAGTCCTTGCCGAGGCGTGGGCGATCCAGGTACCATCATCTCTATACGACAAACACCACACCACGACACAAGCCACCATCACCCGCACTCACGAATAGCACGTCACCCACTCAATTAGCGCCCGTTGTTGTAGCGACCTCCCCTGCTCCACGTAGTAGTTGCATTGTTGCATCAAAGACACCACCAACCCGCATGCCGTCCTCCCATCACCAATTTCGCACCCCCAACCACAGGAGCGCCGCGCGCCTCTCGCCCTCGTGTTGAGGCCCCGTCGCCACCTGCGCGCCCCTCCGTAGGCCATCCATAGTGTTGCTTGGACCTAGGTAGCGTTAGATCTATCTCAACTCGCTCTGAGTCCTGCGCGGCGCCAAGGCAAGTCCACAGTGTTGAGTCCTTAAGCTCAAATGCTTCACTGAAGCATTTGAGAAAGAATCAGGCACTGGGGCGCCATCTGGAGACAACTATTTATTCGCTACAATTGCGGGTTTTGATGGTCGCGCCAAATTTTGGCTACAATTCTCAGACTCAATCTGTGGGATTGCAGAAAACCGTATGGGACTCAGAGCTCTTGCCTGCCTTTTTCACTACAATCGCCATTATTATTGCTTTCTCTTCTTCTTGCCATGGCAACTCTGGCTGGCTTCCGACTAATCTCCACCGCTTTTCTCACCCTCGCTCGCCGAAGCAGGGGCACGATGCGATCCCTGCTGCCGCTGCAGCTGGCAGATTCCACCCCAGGCGGCGCCTCCTTCCACCAGGTGCCCATCGAGGGCAGCACTCCGGATCGGCCTGAGTTGTCCGAGGCCGAGTGCGACATCGACACGCTGAAGAAGCTGAAGCTGGGCATGCGATCCTCGCTGTGGTCCCGGCCGGCGCCCACCAACTCCGGCCAGGTTCCCGGACACCCGTCTGACTACTCCATCGCCGTTTAACCACAGGGGAGCACTCGGCGAAGAGGCCCGCGCTTCTAGTGCGGCGTCTTCGACAGTTGTGCCAAAGACAGTTTTCCCAAGATACTTGCAGATGAAAAACACACACACACACATTATCAAATTTGAGTCATTTGAGTGCTGATGGAATAGGAGAATCAAAAGGAACATGCGAGATTTTTATAATCAAAAGAAATTGAAGAAAAATGATTGAAAAGAAAACCAAAAAATGAGGTGGAAAAAAACGGATGAAATATTGAAAGTTTAGCCAAAATAGTTTGTATAAAAGAAAACAAAGTGGCGCGTATTATGAAGAAGATATTTATATTAGTAGAGTAATTTTTATACAAAACTTTGTTAAATTGTAAAATTTTCTAATTCGTTAGGAATGAATTGACAAAAAAAAAGAGAATCAAAGGAAGTATAAATAGTGAAGTTCATCCCCTCAATAAATGAAATCTAACACCACAGTTTTCATCTTCTTCATTTTTGCAAATGATATTAATAGAGAGTTATTGTGAAACACGTCCCAAAGAAAATTTTGACGACAACGTTTTTTAAGTCGGATTAAAATGAGACAATTTTATCTTGAAGATATTTTAATGACGATGTGAGAAAATATGAATCACTATATTGAGAACTTTAAAAGGAAAAGTAACTTATATATATATTTCAAGACTGACTTTTTCATTACTTGTATCAGTTATAGAAGGAGATCAAATTTCCGCTAGTTTTTCAGTTTATTAGGACGAAAGAAAGTGTAGATATTCAAATACAAGTGAGAGAGTCATTGTGCATAAAATAGAGCCGATAAAAGGATAATCTTGAGCCGTTTCTCCATGTCATCAGGAATTTATAGAGTAAATAGAAATTTTCAAAATAGAGCAATTTCACAGAGAAAAAACACATCGAATGATGTGCAATTTTCACATTGCACTCATTTCGTCAAGTAATAATCACAATTATTTCTCCTCGATTGTGTGATAATCGAGAGGAAGAATAGAGCGAGAGAAACGATTCAGAAGGATGTTAAAAATAGATGAAACAATATTATAAATTAATTACCCCATCGATCCACAAATTACAAAAAAAAACCAATACTGCCCGAAATAAGTGGAATACATGTAACATTTAAACATAGCAAAATATTTACAATGGATATGTTACCGAATTCAATCTCACTGTACATTGTATGATGGAAGAATTGTTGTAAAAATAAATATTTAATTTTGATTCTTCAAACGCGCACGTGTTTTCATCCGTTGGCGTTTGATTTTCAAAGACTGTTCTCAGAACTGTTTCCAAGAAACCCGTTAAAGCCGCTAAGGGGGGAAACTCTTCAACGCCTCGCTCTCTAAACTTCCAACCTCACAGTGACATGGCAGTGAGTTTGTGTGTTTATCATTGGTTTTTGTGTGAAATAATGGGGTTTTCCGCATTTTTCCGCAGCCACCGCAGAAGGGAAAGCAGGCCACGAAGGGGGCGAAGCAGATTGTGGAGGAAAATGCGGCCACACTCAAGTTCTACCGCAATATGGCACTGATTGCCCAAACAGCTTTCCTTGGGGTTATGCTGCTCCTCACGGACGCCTTCACGGGACTCACGATTGTACGACATCTGCGGAAAATCCATCCGCCAAGAGCTCACACACTAATCTCCCTCCTATCTTGCAGACCATGACGATAATCGCCGGCGCTCTGCACTTTGGCAGCTACCAATTCATGAGCTTCATGGCGCGCACGCAATACTCAGAGTCCGGGAGTCTTATCGACAGCGGCACGGATTTGAACATGGAAGGCGGCTTATCAGAGTAAGAATCACCAGGCCACCTTGCCAATGCCCCGGCTGACCGCCGCCTCTCTTGCAGACACGTGAAAGATCTCATCATTCTCACGTCCGGGACGCAATTGCTGGCGCTGATCAGCAACTACTTCTGGCTGTTGCTCCTTCTCGTGCCCGTGCGCGCCTTCTGGCTGCTCTGGGGCTCCGTGATCAAGCCGTGGATGGAGCAGAAGAATCAGGAGCCCGAGATGGACGAGAAGAAGCAGAAGAAGATGGAAAAGCGGATGAAGAGAATGCGCCAATGAAGTCTTCAAATCCTGGGTATTCTGTAAGTAAAATTGTTAATAAATGCAAAAGACTTGTTGTGAATCGATGTTTTAAGAAGACCTCCTCGAGGGACTATCTCCGACTCTTTTCTAGAGTCTTTAACAGCATTCCAGATGGTAAGAAAATTCGGTTGTTTGAATAAATACGAGAAAATTATGATTTTATTAGTCTTTCAATTTCCTCAAATAATTGTATTTGAACAATGTGAATTCCTATTTAAATTACAAAGTTACTTATTTACTGAAAATTTTACTTCCTCATTTGCTGCTTGGCAAAACACTCGCGCGCAGCGAAGGGTTAACTGGCGAATTTGATTAGATTAGCGCCACAAGCACGCGCTTTCCTTGAGATCTCGAGGAGCGCGACAGTCATTCCGAGCGTCTGCGGGACAAATTGCATGCACAACGTGACGAAGGTGAGGCAGAGGGAAACCCCGGGTCGGCGAATGCCCGCCGCGGGTTGTCCCACGAGTGTGCAAGCGAGACGGCGTGTATCCAAAAAATGAATTTCAAATTAAATTTAGACCCGATCGCGTCCGTGCCATCTCGGCGGCGCTATTTTCGATCTCCACCAGCTCTCGTTGGGATATTCTCGTTCAATCGGGTTCCAGATCTCGGTCCGTGTGAATGTGCTGTGAAAATTCTTCCCCGGAAAAGGTGGGGGAAAAAAGTCCTGCCAGGGTGAAGAATCCTGCCCTTAAATTGGCCACAAATCCTCGCGGAATGCGTGCAAATAGCGAGTGAGAAGTGAAAGTGTTGTGAGATCGTGAGAAATTGCCTGTGAAAATTTTCGCTCATCGCAGAAAATTTCCCGGTGTGTGTGTGAAAATGTGCAAAAAATAAAATTCTCTCCCAGAGATTTTTCCACGGCGCAAAAGAGTTGGTGAAAGTGTGAAAATCACCCCAAAATTGCCAGGATTGTGAGAGTGAAAAGGAGTTGCAAGAGAGGAAGTGAAACTATCAAATCCATCATATTAATCGTCCCAGGATCAAGGATAAATCCATCATGTTCCCGGAAAAACCCAATTCAGGTAAATCTCTCTCTCTCTCTTTCCCAGATCAAAGAATCCCTTTTTCGCCACTTTAATTCACATTTCCTCAGTTACTGCGATTTAAAATTTCCGAACAATGCTATAAATAGCGGACATTAAAATAATACACCGCGTATAATTAGTCGGGAATTAACTTGAAAACACACAGCGAAAGAGAAGTGCGCACACGCGCAAAATTGCGCGAGTAATTGCATAACGACTGTTTATAAAGTCAGCGACAAAATCCATCGCTCGATCGCTCAGCGGGGGAAAAAGGCTTGAAGGAAATCCTGCGTCGTGGATTTCCCAACTTTTTCCAATTGTGTGGCCCATTTGGCGAGATCTCTGCACTGCACTTCACGCCTTAATTGCCAACCAGTGAAAACACACTCAGTTTAGGCGGAATTTATCTCTGGCAAGCTAATTAAAATTCAGGAATGGATTCATTGCATCATTGCAGACATTCAAAGGCTCCGCAATGCGAGAAAAGTGGTGGATTTTCAATGAAAATCACTGCGGATTTATTATCCTTTCGCGCTCCAAATGAGTGCTTAATTTTATTGGGTTTTAGGTTTGATGTGTCATTAAAGACAGGTGAATAAGGAAGTGTTTTAGCGTATTTAGTCCGACCAAGGGGGAGATAATATGCCTCAAATCTGTACACAACTTCCTCACACTTCCACAATTCCTCAGCAGAATCTTCAACACTTCAGAGACACTTCTGAACATCTTTAAAGGCATTTCTCATCGCTTTTTAGCTCCGTTCAACTGCTTCTCATACTCAATTCTAACTTTTATCACGATCTAACCTAAGTTTTGCCTTCAGAAAATGCTCTGAAAAATTCTGAGCAAAATTTTAAGGTTAGAATTGGACTTAAAAACTCCTTTTTTGGACTAATTTATATCTTTTCATTCCTGGAAATGAGTAGATAATTACATTTAATTTATCACTTTAAAGCAAAAACTGCAAAAATATCTAAACAAAGAGCAATTCTTCTAGACTGAAATTGGATTTTTTGAGGTTATGATTAACTTTAAAGCTTTTTCTGAATCAATATCAAGTGTTTTTCGTATCAAAAAGCTCAATTGTGTGGAAAAAGAGAAATAATCCCAGCTTAAGCACAAATTTGATGACTTTGAGGTTTATTAAATCAACAAAATCTGTTTTAAAAAATTCACATAACCTAGAAAAGCAATAAAATTTATTTAATCAAAGTAAAATTATATAGAAAATGTCTCAATTTGTTAAAACTGAAGCTTTTTCTATGCAAATTTTCTAAATATTTTACCACTTCCAATTCCCAAACACTTCCACAAAAAGCTGTACACCACTTCCGACCATAATATCTTCCCCTTGAGTCCAACAGTGATGACAAATTAAAATCATCTGGATTAAAATCTCTCAATTAATCGATGATGAAAACAAATAAAGAAGTTAAAAGCTCTAAATAATGAAAGATTATTTGATTCTGTTAAAGAACTCTGATCTCTAAATCGTCGAAATATGTTGCAATTTGTATTCAACGCCACAGAAATGTTTGCTTAATAGACTGTTTCGTTGTTTTCTCATTCCTTTCCGTTGTCGAAATTCCAGTTCAAGAAGATTGATATTTTTGGGAGATTTCCAACAAAAGCATCGGAATAGATTCAGCTCAATTCAGCTTCAAATATTGAATAATTTGTCAATCAAGAATGAATATTTAGATAATATGAGATTGGCGTAAAGAATTTCGCTGTGTGGATAAGATTCCGTTCATTTTCTTATTCTGCCAAGAAGCTTCAGGAGTTTTATTTTCATATTTGACACTGCAAAGGCTGAAAAGCTTTGTTGAAACATTTCAATAGACTTCTGGAAACTCCTTACGGAAATTGTAGCAATCTTAGAGCCGCAAATGATGATGAAACGTTGCAAGACGCAAATTTTCTATTTATTAATCTTTCCGATCTTCTCTTGAGAAAATACATTTTGAAGCTTGTACGAAATTCAGTATATTTCTCATATCAGAATGCCATCCAAAAATAAATCAATCCACATCTTGATCGCATATTGTGATCTTGTGAACTGAATTGCGAGAAAATCGATCTCGCGACGACGCGAAAATTCCCAGTAAATCTTTCGCTTTCCGTGTCACTTCTCTCAACACTCATCTCACGATAATGACAGTGACTCTGCTCCCAATTTCGTCGGCGTAAAAATAAATTCATTAAGTTGACCCACATGAAAAAAAAACTGCTTGCAGACAAACTCCTTGGAGCCGAGTTCAATCCCGAAGACGTCGTGGAATTCACCGAGAATGCGGAGAAAGTCGTGAGTTGCGTGGGCGGACGAGGAGTGCTCAGGATTGGCTTTCAGGAGGCGCAAACGCCACGCGAAGACATCAGTTTTGCATGGTAAGTCGCGTGATTGTCACCATCTGTTGACCATTCGCCCCAGGAATGCTAAATAGCGATGATCTTACAACTATTTGCGTGTCTGAAGACACGCAGAAAACAAATCATTTCATTCTGTTCCGGTGGTGATTCAGAGAAAGAAAAAAAGCTCTTGAACGTCGACACATTAGTGTTGTCATCACCAGCAAAAGACTCCCGAAAACATACGTAACGAAAGTGAGAGAATGAGATTGCGGAGCTTCGCTTCTCTCACATCTGCGCATCACGCAGGAATGATCAGTGCGCGCGATCTCAGCGGACCTGCCACGAATTTAAAAATAAACCCCGCGAAGGAGGTTACAAGTGCCTTCCGTCGCGATCCGATCGACTTCAGGGGGTCAGAAAATCTCATGATCTTCAGTACGATTCGCACGATCGAGCCCTAAACAAGTTGCTGATCGCGCGCGGGGTTTCCCTTCTTTTCGCCACCTTTTGGTCGTAATTGTGACGGTAGTGAAAGCGATCATGAAGACTTTTCAGCCACAATTTCCCGTGATATTTTCCCGAAAATCAGGTGTGATCTTTTGCTCTCAAATTGGCATCTCACGATGAAAATGGTGTGAACAAAACCATGTCAATTGATCGATTTACTATTGAGAATTTTCACAATTGACTGTGGGGCAAAAGTGTTTCAGTGGATCACAAGAACAGCCTTTTCAAAGCGGAACAGAGGAACTTGAAAAAGCGATTTCTCAAAATAAAATGTTTATTTATATGCCCAGTCGAGTTAACTTATTTTCCCATCTTATTTGCATTGGCAAATATTTTTCTCTTTCACGTAGGTGGAATTTTCTTCATATATTTTATTATCTCTGCAATATAATCTCGAGAAAATATCCTCTCAAATTAGATAAACAGCAGTTTGTGAATGAGAAGAAATCTGATATTAACCTTTTGCAAGATCACGATCAATTCTACAGATGTTTTTCTGTATTCCTCTGGAAAATAGGGGAAAATATCACAATTAATACAAGAAAATTCTTGCTAAATGATTCTTTTTTGGGTGCAAAAAAGTGGGAAAAGTGTCTTTGATCGTTGTGAAGTGGCATAAGTAAAAATAAACGTGACGTTGAAATTTGCCAATTTTTCAGTTTTTCAACCATGAAACGTCACTCTTGTGAAAATGCCCACTTAATTTCAAGTGCATGTGATTCTCTTTGATTTCGCGAAAGAGTGTGAAAAGGCAGTGAAAAGTGCTTTGGAAAAAGACTGCAGAAAAAAATGGGGAGCAATTGTTGCAAATGTGATGGAACAAATGGCCAAACTGGAGCCATTTCCTCAGGATCTTCTATCTACAGGAAGAGGTTCATACATATATATTTTTAGCCAAATATAAAAGCTCTCTCTAGAGAAAAAATATGTCTCTGAGTGTGTTTTTCTTCTCAGTGGGGCGATGAAAGACTGGGAAAATGGAGGAATTTTCATGTGAATAAAGTGATATTAAAAGCCAGCGAAATACCCAGAGTCGTAAAATTCAATGAAATTGCGGGCAATTCAGATCTCTTTCACGCAACGATGCGATCGAGAGGAAAAAGCTCATTTGCCTATGAGCGAATTGACTGAACTTTGAGCGTGTGGTGGATTATTAATTTAGACGCCAAATGCAAACATTCAGAGTATTTTCGGTTCTTGTTCAATTGCTAACCATAGAATATTGTGGGTTAAAGTGGCAGAATTCCTTTCACAATTTCACATAATAATAAATTTTCCTCAGTGGAATTTAATTATTTTATTGGGTGCGTCGGTGAAAAGGCGCTCCTCGCTCGTAGATTTCCCTCCGCCAGACACGCGAGCGACATTGTGACAAAATTAATTCAATATTATTAATGTGTTTTGGCATCACGCAGCATCACGACGCTCCATAAGATATTTTCGGGCTTTGATGGGGTTTTCTTGGTGGTTTTCTCAACGCCTCAATGCGGAAACTGTGTGCATTTTCCTCGCAGACACCATCACACGAGTTCCACGAGTTCAATATTTCTATCCAAAAGTCCAGCTTCGTCTTCCTCTGCCGATCTCGTCTGGGAAAACAAAGTGTTGCGCGCGAGAAAAGAATGTTGTTATAGTGTGAAAATAGTTTCGAATGCACTTGGACGCTGGCCAATCCACCTACAATCCGAGCGACGTCTGCGAGACGCTCACAGACGCACTTCTTGACCAGCTGTTTAGTCAGTCTTTACCTCATTAGTGAGGAAAAATTCATCACAAGGCAAAAGCTCTGTTCGTTTACATAATTCTCAAGGTGTTTCTAGAATTGTTGCACAATGCATTTCAAGTGCACAAGAATCTTACAATGCTTATAATCTTGCGTAACGCTTGAGTTTCTTCCTTTTCTTTAACGTCCTTTCGGGGGAAAATCCATGTCATTTATCACAATGATAATATTTACTGCAATAGAGACGATTTCCATGGCATTTTGCTCATGCCAGAAAGCACCCAACACGAGACTTGTTTGATGATTTTCTCCCTTTTCTTCTTAAGATAAACAATCGTGAAGGAAATGTTTCTAACAACTTCATGTATTTCTTAAGACACTTCTGATGATGTTATTATGAACATGTTTTATGATTTTCATGTCATTTAGCACGTTATTTCACTATCCTGCCTGCGTCTTAGATTTTTCTTTGCCGTTGCAAAGCTATTAACTTCCGGATGACGATTCTACTGAATGATCTCTCTCTAAGCCTTGAAGTTTTCTGGACAAAGTCAAGAAATATTCTAGGGATATGAGTCAATTTCGAGTTAAATTTAGCATCCTCTTCCCAATTTCTCGTTGCAGGAAGCGAGACGATCTCGCGTTGAGCGATGGCGGTCGCATTCGCATGACAGAGACGAAGAATTCTGTCCAGTTGGCCATCGAGCATGTCCAGCGCGAAGACGCTGGAGTCTACACACTCTTCGCGCGCGCGAAGAACGGCGAGATCGCGAAGAAAGATGTGGAATTGGTGGTTGAGGATCGATCCTCGGGCGAAGATCCGCCGATCTTCGTAAAGCGCCTCAGTGATATTTCAGTGAAAGTCGGCACAAGATCGCGTCTTCTTGTGGAGATTCGCAGCTCCACCGATGTGAAAGTGACGTGGTACAGGAACGACAGGCGGATCTGCGAAGGAGATCGCATACGAACGGTGAACGAGGGATTGTTCTATTGCCTGGAAATCGGTCCGGTGACGCTCGATGATGGCGGTCAGTGGATGTGCATGGCTGAGAACCGCGGAGGACGCAATTCCTGCCTCTGCCATCTCAATGTCCTCGTGCCAAAAGCCTACAAGTCCCCAGAATTTGTCGAGGAACTGTGTGCAGTCTTGACAGAGCAAGGAACAGTGTCCTTAGAGTGCAAGGTAAGAACATGCCTTATCAACTCTCTCTCTTAACACGATAATCGATCTTCTCTCCTTTTGCAGGTCGTTGGAGTTCCCACGCCCGTTCTGCGGTGGTTCAAGGACTCCAAGGAGATTAAGGCGGGAGATGTCTTCGCCCTCACGGCCAATCCTGACGATCCAACGTCTCTCGGCACGTACACTTGCGAGGCTGTGAATTGCATGGGCCGTTCTTACTCCTCCTCGAAGGTGCACGTCGTGGGCAAAGGCAGCCGCGAAGGATCTCTGCGTCCTGCGGACCAGGCTCACGCGGGTCCGCCGCCTATCTTCACGGCCGAACTCACAGGCCAGAAGCTGCGCATAGGCGATCAGATCAAACTCTCTTGCCAAGTCATGGTGCCTCCGTGGCCGCGCTCTGTGACGTGGTACAACAAGGAGGGACGCGTGGAGAGCAGCGAGAGATACCGGCTGGTTGAGGATGGCCTGGGAGCGTACATGATCGAGGTGAAGCCTTCCGAGAGCTGCGATGCAGGCGAGTGGAAGTGCGTGGTGACCAGCAACGATGGATGCGTGGGAATCTCCTCAGCCACTGTTGATATGGACAGTGAGTCTTCTGTCACTGATCAATTCGAGTCATCTGGCTAATGTCTGGCTCTCTTGCAGTTCCCCGGAACTACCGAAAGCCGCGCTTCATGGAGACTCTCAAGGCGGTGCTCACGGAGGAGGGATTAGTGTCTTTCGAGTGCAAAGTCGTTGGATTCCCGACGCCAGTGCTCAAGTGGTTCAAGGATGGGCAGGAGCTGAAGCCAGGTTGGAATTCATTGAGTAATATTTTGCGAAAAATGTCTGGCAAGATGCCACACTTTTTCTGGCGCGCACAGCTTTTTCATTTGTCTCGAAGATGTGCCAAATTACTTCTACAAGCATAAACAATTCGGCGCTTGTTATGCAAGGATTTCCTGCCAGAGACATGTTATCACAGTGTCGATCTTTTGCACTTCCAGGCGACGTTTATCAACTGACTGGCGCCAATTCCTTGGGCACATATTGCTGCGTGGCGAGCAATTGCATGGGCGAGATGAGCAGCACTGCCGTATTGACTGTTGAAGACATCCAGAGCCAGCTAAATGACGAGGAACTGCTGATGTTCACAGAGAAGAACCAACCGCCCCGATTCACGCAGGGTCTGAAGAGTCAAGAGGCGCGCATTAACGAAGAGTTTCGCTTCACGGTTTCCGTTTGCGCTACTCCAGAACCCACGCTATCCTGGTTCAGAGACGATCTTCCCGTGGATTCGACAGAGAAGTAAATAAGAAACGGTGATAGAAATCATGACTATCTCTAATGTCCTTCTCTTCTTAGGTATGTGATCTTGCGAGAAGCCGTTGGCGTTTGCCATCTAAACATCAAACAAGTGGAATTCCTTGATCAGGCCGAGTGGAAGTGCGTCGCCACCAATGATTTCGGACAGAGCGTGACTTCTTGCTTCCTGAAGTTGCAAATTCCGCGACACTACAAGAAGCCACGATTCTTGGAATGCCTTCGCGCCGTTCTGACCGACGAAGGCGCTGTGAATCTCGAGTGCAAAGTGATCGGAGTTCCTCAGCCTGTGCTCAAGTGGTACAAGGATGGCGTTGAATTGAAGCCGGGAGACATTCACAGGATCATTTCCGGCCAGGACGGCACTTGTTGCCTCGGCACGTACACTTGTGAGGCGAGGAATTGCATGGGAGTTGTGGCGAGTTCAGCATCTCTGCTGGGCTATGATGACCCAAGCAAGAATCCAGCTCTTCCTCAGCCGCCAGACCTCCAGAGGAATATCTCCCTGTCGACGATTCACGAGGAGAGAACATCACAAATGTACGAAACTCCTCCTGATATCACGATCGACGAGAAAGCAGACGTATCTTTCTCCTTCGATGGCAAGGAAGTGTCCGTTTCCTTGTACGAGACGCCCGATCTCACGGAGGAAGAGGCGCTCAAGATCGTGGAGATGTACGCTGATCAGATATCTGAGCACGTGACAGAGCAGAATGTCGTTGAATTGCCGCCACTGCGCTTTGTCAAGGAAACTTCCACTTCTGGAAATCTCTTGATGGAAGCTGTCGTGATCGACGTGAGTCCCGAATACTTTTCCGCCACTGAGGAGGACTTGCGCACAGAAGCTGACGTGGAAGAGATGAGCTCTGTCAATGGTGCTCTTTCACACTCAACCTCACGATCGAGGGTGGAAGAGGAGTCGTCGCACAGGGATAGAATGACTGAGGAGTTTGTCCAGCAGAAGATGCAGCAAATGGAACAGGAATTACAACTGGAGCCCACAAAGCCCAAGAGAAGGAAGTCTGAATCTGCTGAAGAGTACTTCAGCTTCTCTCACTCCAAACCCTCTCATGAGGCATCGCCAGAAGACACAGAAACGGATTTCCCGACCTTCGCCAGCGCCAAGAGCTCAGAGAAGCAGAAACTCGAAGATGCTGAAGAGGAAGTGCCGACGAAAAAGCCCAGGAAGCACAAATCCTCGAGCAGCGATGAAACATCTATGTCCAGGAATGATGCAGGACTGAGAGATATCTCAGGAGAGGAGGGAGATGGACTGAAGATTGTGCGGAAGGACTCAAAGAAGAGATTTGAACTGCTAAAGCCACTTGTGAAGTCTTTAACAATCATTGAAAATCACTTATCTGTGATTGATGAAGAAGTTGTGATGCAATCAGGACTTATGATGTCCGCCGCTTCTGCAGACAGCAGCCTGGGAGTGATCAAGAACATCATCAATCCCATCAGGAACACTTTAGAGGTGCTCAAGGGATACTCTGGAGACTGTACTCTTGACCAGGTGACGCAGATCGTCTTGCCGCAGCTGAAGGGCCTCCAAGAAGGCCTCAATCTGATCGAGAAGTGTGTCGAGATGGACGAGCAAGGCAAGACTTTGGTCCAGAGAACGTGTGTTTGCATTGTGGACAGCAGTGGTCCGCAGCTTGTGACTGTCCTGGATCACTTTGTCAGAATCACGAGTGAATTGAGCAACAGAACTCTGGCTAATGAGGTGAATTTGCTGGTCAACGACATGAAGACAGGCATCCAAATGACCCAAGACACAATCAAGTCCCAGACACTTCTTCAGGAAGCCACTGCCCTCGAAGCTGCACAGCACATCACAGAGTCCATTGCTAGGATGCAGGAGGAGCCTGACTTTGTGCCACCGTTTGAGAGTGTCTCAAGTGCTGAGCTGCCACAGGAAGCAGAGTCGCTGAAGAGAATCTGTCGTCCTGTGGTGAAGATTCAGTTCGCCCTGGAGAGTATTGAGCATGACTTGTCGCTTGAAGAGAATGAGGAGCAACTCTACACGAGGGTTCATGAGAGAATCCTTGAGAAACTCACAGAACCCATTGAAGAACTGAGGCGGGAAATGGCTGAGATTGAGAAACTGGCTGTGGCAGGAGTCGTGACTGAAGACTTGCAGCAGAAAGTCAACATGGCGATTCTGGATATCGTCACGCCGCCAATGTATGAACTCCAGAAGGGACTGGAAATCCTGGGCGAGCAATCTGTTTCGAACACTCACGCAGGAATGGTGAGTGTGAGTATTTTAGAGTCAATGGTTCCGCCATTGCAGGAGATCCAGACGGGATTGGCGAGAATAGGCCAAGATATCGAGTCAGGAGAACTTAAGAGGGAATCACCAGTTGAGAATGTCGATGCTCAGAAACTCATTCAGTCTCTGGCGCAGTCGATTCTCAACTTTGAGAAGAATATTATGTCTCTCAATGGGAAATTTGAAGATGCTTCTAGATCCTCTCTGCTCAACTTGAAAAGAGGAATGTCTGAGATCCTCGAGAGTGTTGTCGATGCTCCTGTGGACAAATATAGAATGACCATTCTTGAGAATTTGAAGAAGCCCATGGACGAAATCAATTATGCGCTGAGACATATTGAAGTCAAATCGACAAATGGATCACTAGAGGATCTCATAGAGCCAATATTGCTTCTTGAGGAGAAGATAAGAGTGTGTGAAGACATTCTAATCCTCACGAATCATCCTCCAAATCATCCGAGTGTGAAAGCTCTCTCCACAGTGAAGAAAACAATAAAGTCAGTGAAGAAAACCATTGAATTAAACGAAATCAAGCTTTCTGAGAGAGAAAAGGTAAATTCCCTAAAGCTCAAAAAAGAGGAAATTCACGAAATCTCATCTGTGAGCATTCAAGAAGTCAGCACAATGGAATCTCTTCAGGAAATCAGCCGGAAAGAGACGATCCAACTCCTCGAAGAACTTCAATGCCGCGTGGCTGGGATTCAGGAGAACGTTCTCATTGACAGCACGAAGGAAGCTTCGCTCAAGGAATCGCTCGTGACTCCTCTGGCGCAAGTGCAGAGGTGCATCGGCGAGATAAAGGACATCCTCGTGATGGAATCCACGCAGGAAATGGCCAGTGAAAACTTCGCCGCCCTCCAGAAACTCGCCACTCCGATGCAGGAAGTCGTGCGGCATCTCCAGACGGTCGCGAGCGAGGAAGTCGTGGAGCCTGTGGAGTCCATGTCCACCCAGGACAACCTCAGCCTCCTGAAGACTGTGGCTCATCCGCTGCAAGAGCTGCAGAACTGCATCGCGACCCTGAGACAGGAGCCGCTCGTGATGGAGCAGACAGGAACTGTGACTTCCCTGGACTCTCTCACCATCGCGAAGCCCATCAACGAGCTGCGGGACTGCGTGGCCGCCATCCTGGCCAACGTCGTGGAGCCCAGTGAGGATCTCTCCACGCTGGACGACATCTCGGCTCTGCGCACAATCGCCGAAGACGTGCAGGGCATCCGGGAAGACGCGGCCATTGTGCAGGAGCCCGGAATCTCGTCTGAGATCTCAGACGAGATCCCGACGCTCAGCACCGAGGACAGGAAAGTCTTCGCACAGCAGCTTCTCACGGATCTGGAGCACAATTTGGCCTCCGTGCGACAGCAATGCGTTCTCGAGGAAGCTCAGTCGTTCTCCGAGAAGACGCCGTCTTTCGTGCAGGCTCTGGCCAAACCCATCGAGGACGTGGAGAAGTGCCTGGCCACCATCAAGATGCAGACGGCGCACGAAGTGATCGGCCGGGAATCCCAGGCTGAGTCCGTCTCGGATCTCCAGAATCTGGCCATTCCGCTGCAGCGTCTCGAGCAAAGCATCGCCACAGTTCAGCAGGAAATGCTGAGCGAAGCCTGTGAATCGATCTCCGAAGATCGGGTCAGTCCTCAAGTTCTCACGATCGCTCAGCCTCTCGAAGAACTAAAGAACTGCGTGAGCGTTGTGGAGCATTTCATTGTCGATCAAGAGATTCCTTCCGAATCAATGGGCAAAACTCTTACGAAAACGAATGCAGAAATGATTAAAGAATTCACAAATTGTGTGGCAAACGTGAAGAATGAAGATTTGAATAGAATTGAGGATTCAACGAAAAACCGCGAGGTTAAGAAAATTGCCCATTCGATGCAAGAACTCTTCAAATCACTGACAGAGTTTGTCCAAAGCTCTGAGCATGAAAAAGTTTCCTCAAAAGTGATTGAATCTGTGCAGCACATTCAACAACTTTGTCCTTCATCTAAAGCTTCTGATGAAATTTCGTCCAATGCAAAGAATATCTCGAATTTAATAACTTGCGTAGAAAAGATAAATGTAAAGGAGTTGGAGAAAATCCTTGAACAGAAGACAACTGAAGATTCTCAGCTCTCAAAATCTCTGATGGAATCTCTTAAAGGCATTCTCAAGGGTGAAAAAGAACCGAATATTCTCCAGAAGTTTGATGTTCACCTAGAGAATCTCCTTAACTCATCAGAATCCTTACTAAAAGGCATAGAAACACAGGAATTTGCTGCTATAAAAATGCCTTTGTCGAGAATTAAAGAACTTTGTTCTGATATCACCCAAGAAAAAGCTCTTATTGTGGAAGAAAGTAAATCTAGCAATGCCAAAATTGTTGATTTTATTGAAAGAGCTGAAGAACTGGAATCGGAATTACATGTTACCAAATCTGCAATGGAAAAGGCACAAAAAGGAAGACAATCATTGGAATTGGAATCCATAGACAAAATATTAACTTCCATTGTACCTGTTAAGAAAGATCTTATCAGAATTCACTTTGCGAAAGAAGTGTTTCCTGAACAGAGCACAAAATCGTTGAAGAAATGCTTGAATTCCGTCGAGAGGATTTGCAACACTTCCAACTTGGACACAGTTCAGAAGCTGTGTTTGTCTGAATTGGAACCATCTCTGAATCAACTGTTGAGCTCAATGGAGTCATTCAAAGCCATCGGAATGGAAGGATCTCTTCAGGAATCGGAAGTCGCAAATCTGAGGGACAAAATGCTGGATTCTCAGACTTGCGTTGTCCTTTTCGAAGCAACTCTCTTGGCGAACATCCAGCGAAACAATGTCCAGAACATTGAGATCATCATGAGTCCCGTGGAGAGGCTCAAAGAGTCGATCGAGGAAGTCCAGAAGGCGCTCATGGAAGAGCGTCCCGAATGCTCAAAGGTTTCGCAATCTCTCACTCATCTGGAGAATCCAATGAAAGCTCTTGCTTTGGCTCTCGCGAAAATTGAATGCGATCTAGTGCAAGACAGCGAATTGCAGAAAGTCCTGATTCCCATCCACAAGGTTCACTCCCTTCTTGTCGACGTTCAGGAACAGAAAGGAGAATGCAAGGAACCCTTTTTAGAAGAAGTGCGCACATTATTAGGGAAGATTGATGAGTCAGAAGAGAGGCTTTTAACGAAACAACTAATTAAATTGAGTTCAGATGATTTGAAGCAAATCCACAAAATTGATTCTCCTTTGAATGAGATGAAAAAAGTCCTTTCAGACGCCTCAAGTGGTCTGTTAAATATTTCCCAAGAATCAAGGAAGACACTTTTGAAATTATCAGAGCCAGTAAAAGAATTGGAGATGATTCTTGGTCAGGTTGAAGCTCACGAGAGCAGTGACGCGACATCCACGAATCTGGCAGAGATTCAGAAGAATGAAAACGTGATAAAATTAGATGCCATTTCAGTATCGAACGCACATTTGGCAGCGGCAGAAATAGACCAAGGCCTCAATGTCAAAGAGCAAGAGGAAATTAGTTTAGGAGGTGACAGAGCGCAATGCACCGACACTAAGACTGATGATCCGGAAAGGCTGAAAGCTCAAGCAAAGGAACTGATCAGACAATCCGCCGAGCGCGAATTGACTCCCATCGAGATGGATTCTCTGAAATATCTTCTGGCCAGAATCAATTCTCTCGGCTCGGAGATTCACGAGACGTTGGTCGATGCGAAGATTATCAATCAAAACACCGCAGAGATCATTGAACAGATAAAATCCGATGCTCAGCATGGCGTTGACGCTGCTAAAAAAAACGATGTTGCAGGCCAACCTACAGGAGATACCTGCGCAAGTACTACTACTGAGCCGATGGACGTGGAGCCTGTAGATGACAGTAGATCCCCAACCCTCAGAATTGGAGGCGACACATCAATTGGCGACTCTGAGACAATCGTTAAATTTGATGTGTCCGTCGATGTTGAAGAGTGTGAAAAAGTTGATGTTCACTTGGTTTCAAAGCAACAGGACACAGAAAAGGACATACAGAAAGAAGCCGCGGAAGGCGCTGAAGCATTACCAATAGCAATTCATGAAATAACAACGGAATCTGCACCGGAAAGAAGATTTTCAACAGTTGAGCTGATTCAGGAAGAAAAGGTATTCAAAAGCACAATTAGAGTGAAAGTACAGGTTTTTGATTATTTTTTTCAAACATTCTCTTTTTAGGTTGAGCAAGCTAAGACATTCACCCTCGGAAGATTTACATCAAAAGAAGGCGACAAGTCTCTGGAGGCCACAATTGAAGATGTTTCCATGGCAGAAGTCTCACAGATGACTAGTGAGGAACAAGAATCAGATATCTTTTCTGACAAATCAGCTTCATTTGATCTTCTACATGAAGAAGTCAATGGAATCTCATCTGTGAGCATTCAAGAAGTCAGCACAATGGAATCTCTTCAGGAAATCAGCCGGAAAGAGACGATCCAACTCCTCGAAGAACTTCAATGCCGCGTGGCTGGGATTCAGGAGAACGTTCTCATTGACAGCACGAAGGAAGCTTCGCTCAAGGAATCGCTCGTGACTCCTCTGGCGCAAGTGCAGAGGTGCATCGGCGAGATAAAGGACATCCTCGTGATGGAATCCACGCAGGAAATGGCCAGTGAAAACTTCGCCGCCCTCCAGAAACTCGCCACTCCGATGCAGGAAGTCGTGCGGCATCTCCAGACGGTCGCGAGCGAGGAAGTCGTGGAGCCTGTGGAGTCCATGTCCACCCAGGACAACCTCAGCCTCCTGAAGACTGTGGCTCATCCGCTGCAAGAGCTGCAGAACTGCATCGCGACCCTGAGACAGGAGCCGCTCGTGATGGAGCAGACAGGAACTGTGACTTCCCTGGACTCTCTCACCATCGCGAAGCCCATCAACGAGCTGCGGGACTGCGTGGCCGCCATCCTGGCCAACGTCGTGGAGCCCAGTGAGGATCTCTCCACGCTGGACGACATCTCGGCTCTGCGCACAATCGCCGAAGACGTGCAGGGCATCCGGGAAGACGCGGCCATTGTGCAGGAGCCCGGAATCTCGTCTGAGATCTCAGACGAGATCCCGACGCTCAGCACCGAGGACAGGAAAGTCTTCGCACAGCAGCTTCTCACGGATCTGGAGCACAATTTGGCCTCCGTGCGACAGCAATGCGTTCTCGAGGAAGCTCAGTCGTTCTCCGAGAAGACGCCGTCTTTCGTGCAGGCTCTGGCCAAACCCATCGAGGACGTGGAGAAGTGCCTGGCCACCATCAAGATGCAGACGGCGCACGAAGTGATCGGCCGGGAATCCCAGGCTGAGTCCGTCTCGGATCTCCAGAATCTGGCCATTCCGCTGCAGCGTCTCGAGCAAAGCATCGCCACAGTTCAGCAGGAAATGCTGAGCGAAGCCTGTGAATCGATCTCCGAAGATCGGGTCAGTCCTCAAGTTCTCACGATCGCTCAGCCTCTCGAAGAACTAAAGAACTGCGTGAGCGTTGTGGAGCATTTCATTGTCGATCAAGAGATTCCTTCCGAATCAATGGGCAAAACTCTTACGAAAACGAATGCAGAAATGATTGAAGAATTCACAAATTGTGTGGTAAACATCAGGAATGAAGCTTCTCTTGAAGATTTTACTAATATTGCTGATAAGTTGAAGAATGAAAATATGAAGTTGATTGCCAATTCAATCCAAGGGCTTTTCGAAATCATGGCTGAATTAAGCGAATGTGTAAAATTAGAACAGATTTGCACTGAAACTACCATTGAAAATATTGCTATCCTTCAAAAACTGCCTCAATCAATCGAAAATGTACAAAAAGCGGAATGTTCGGGGAATATTCTTACTGATTTCAAAAATATTTCCTATTTCCTTAATTGCATTCGGGGAATTGATATTGAAGAACTTAAGATGATTTTGGAGTTGAAAACACCGGATAGCATTTTGCAAGCTAAAGCCATTTTAGAGTCTCTGAAAAAAGTATTTCACCGAAAATCAGATCTTTATTTCCCACAAAACTTTTATAGTCATTTGAATGAATTCTCAAGTGCAATAGACAACCTTCAAATGACCAAAAATATTGATCCATTCAATTTACTGCAGGAAACTTTGAACACAATACAGAATGATGTAAATGGTTTACAAAACATTCAGAAAAGTTATCTTGACGATTCAAAAGGAGAACAAAATATTTCTGCAGTATTGGAAAAGCTTGAAGATCTTGAATCGAGCATTTATATTATAAAAGCATGCAAAGTGAATGAGGAATTCCAAAATACCTCTGTTGAAAGTAAAGCAGAAATTTTGGATAACACTTTATCAGCAATTTTATTATTAAGAAAGGATATTAGAGATATCGAAAAATTCTGTTTAAACATAACAGAAGAACCTACTCTGAAATACTCAAAATCGTTGAAGAAATGCTTGAATTCCGTCGAGAGGATTTGCAACACTTCCAACTTGGACACAGTTCAGAAGCTGTGTTTGTCTGAATTGGAACCATCTCTGAATCAACTGTTGAGCTCAATGGAGTCATTCAAAGCCATCGGAATGGAAGGATCTCTTCAGGAATCGGAAGTCGCAAATCTGAGGGACAAAATACTGGATTCTCAGACTTGCGTTGTCCTTTTCGAAGCGACTCTCTTGGCGAACATCCAGCGAAACAATGTCCAGAACATTGAGATCATCATGAGTCCCGTGGAGAGGCTCAAAGAGTCGATCGAGGAAGTCCAGAAGGCGCTCATGGAAGAGCGTCCCGAATGCTCAAAGGTTTCGCAATCTCTCACTCAACTGGAGAATCCAATGAAAGCTCTTGCTTTGGCTCTCGCGAAAATTGAATGCGATCTAGTGCAAGACAGCGAATTGCAGAAAGTCCTGATTCCCATCCACAAGGTTCACTCCCTTCTTGTCGACGTTCAGGAACAGAAAGCAGAATGCAAGGAACCCTTTTTAGAAGAAGTGCGCACATTATTAGAGAAGATCGACGAATCAGAGGAGAAGCTGTTCAGCAAGAAAGAGTCGTCTTTTGAATTAGAAGATCTCAAAATTATTCACAAAATACATTCTCCTTTAAACGAGATAAAGAAGACTCTAGAGTCCTTAAATCAAGAGCCTCAAGAAAAATCGAAAAACCTCCAAAAATCTCTAACAGAATTAGAAACCGTTTTAAATAAAATTGTATTGAGCGAACAAGATAATTTAATCGAAACCAATCGGTTAGTGAAAGAAATCACAATTGATAACAACAAAACTGAGGAAGGAGAACAGGCTCAAGCCGCAACTGCAGAAGAAGGCGCCAAGGCAGAGAAAGCTATACTCAAAGCCCAGAAGAAATCCGAGGAAGGAGAACAGGCTCAAGCCGCAACTGCAGAAGAAGGCGCCAAGGCAGAGAAAGCTATACTCAAAGCCCAGAAGAAATCCGAGGAAGGAGAACAGGCTCAAGCCGCAACTGCAGAAGAAGGCGCCAAGGCAGAGAAAGCTATACTCAAGCCCAGAAGAAATCCGAGGAAGGAGAACAGGCTCAAGCCGCAACTGCAGAAGAAGGCGCCAAGGCAGAGAAAGCTATACTCAAAGCCCAGAAGAAATCCGAGGAAGGAGAACAGGCTCAAGCCGCAACTGCAGAAGAAGGCGCCAAGGCAGAGAAAGCTATACTCAAAGCCCAGAAGAAATCCGAGGAAGGAGAACAGGCTCAAGCCGCAACTGCAGAAGAAGGCGCCAAGGCAGAGAAAGCTATACTCAAAGCCCAGAAGAAATCCGAGGAAGGAGAACAGGCTCAAGCCGCAACTGCAGAAGAAGGCGCCAAGGCAGAGAAAGCTATACTCAAAGCCCAGAAGAAATCCGAGGAAGGAGAACAGGCTCAAGCCGCAACTGCAGAAGAAGGCGCCAAGGCAGAGAAAGCTATACTCAAAGCCCAGAAGAAATCCGAGGAAGGAGAACAGGCTCAAGCCGCAACTGCAGAAGAAGCGCCAAGGCAGAGAAAGCTATACTCAAAGCCCAGAAGAAATCCGAGGAAGGAGAACAGGCTCAAGCCGCAACTGCAGAAGAAGGCGCCAAGGCAGAGAAAGCTATACTCAAAGCCCAGAAGAAATCCGAGGAAGGAGAACAGGCTCAAGCCGCAACTGCAGAAGAAGGCGCCAAGGCAGAGAAAGCTATACTCAAAGCCCAGAAGAAATCCGAGGAAGGAGAACAGGCTCAAGCCGCAACTGCAGAAGAAGGCGCCAAGGCAGAGAAAGCTATACTCAAAGCCCAGAAGAAATCCGAGGAAGGAGAACAGGCTCAAGCCGCAACTGCAGAAGAAGGCGCCAAGGCAGAGAAAGCTATACTCAAAGCCCAGAA